TTTAGTTTACACATGGTCTCGTTTGGTTTTGGCAGGGTCCTGCTTAGTTTTCCTAGGCTCTTGTGTAGGTTTGCTAAAGTCCTGTTTAGGTGTCCAAAAGTCTCGTTTAGTTTTGGCAGGGTCCTGTTTAGTTGTCCTAGGGTCTCGTTTAGTTGTCCGAGGGTCTTGTATAGTTGTCCTAGGGTCTCGTTTGGTGTTGGTTGGGGTTTTGTTTAGTTGTCTTGGGGTCTCGTTTGGTTTTGGCAGGGTCCTGTTTAGTTTGTCCGAGGGTCTCGTTTAACTTTGCCAGGGTCTTGCTTAAATGATCTCGTTTCGATTTGCTAGGGTCCTGTTTCTTTTGGCTCTCGTTTAGTTCCCCTAAGGTCTTGTCTAGTTGTCCGAGGGTGTCGTTTAAATTCCCGAGGGTCCTGTTCAGTTTCCCTGGTGTCTCGTTTAGTTGTGGTAGGGTCTTTTTAGTTTCCCCAGGGTCTCGTTTAGCGTTGCTAAGGTCCTGTTTAGTTTTCCTAGGGTCTCGTTTAGTTTTGCCAGGGTCTTGTTTAATTTTCCCAGGGTCTCGTTTAGTTGTGGTAGGGTCATGTTTAAATTCCCAGTGTTTCGTTTAGTATTGGCAGGGTCATGTTTACTTGTCCTAAAATCTCGTTTAGTTTTGGTAGGTCCTGTTTAGTTGTCCGAGAGTCTCGTGTACTTTTGCTAGAGTCCTGATTAGTTGTCCTTGGGTCTTGTTTGGTTTTGCTAGGGCCCTGCTTAGTTTTCCTAGGGTCTCGTTTGGTTGTGGTAGGGTCGCGTTTACTTTTCCTGGGGTATCGTGGAGTATTGTTAGGGTCCTGTTTAATAGTACTACGGTCTCGTTTGGTTTTGGTAGGGTCCTGTTTAGTTATCCGAGGTTCTTGTTTAGTTTTGGCGGGGTCCGGTTTAAGATTCCGGGGGTCTCGTTTAGTTGTCCCAGGGTATTGTCTAGTTGTCCGAGGGTCTTGTTTAGTTTTGCGAGGGTCCTGTTCAGTTTTCCCAGGGTCTCGTCTAGTTTTCCTCAGCAGCATTGTCAGCGTCGTCCTCACCATCATCGTCAGTCCCTAAGGTCTCATATGTATGTCACCGTCAGCATCGTCATCACCATCATCACAACCATCATCGCCGTTATCGTCATCATCTTCATTTTCGTCATCATGCCTTCGGATGGCCGGGGTAGAGCATTGGCGCCATACTAAACACGACCCAGGAGACAACTAAACACGACCAAGGTCGGTGGTGATGATGGCGACTACTGCAGCACGACTCACACGACAATGGTCGGTGGTCGATGAGGGCGGCGGGAGCGAAGCTGAGGATTGAGATGATGTCGGTGGTCATGATGACGATGGTCATGATGTCGGTGGTCATGATGTCAGGGGTCATGATGACGATGGTCATGGTGTCGGTGGTCATGATGTCGCTCATTGTGCTGATGATATGGGTGGTCATGACGGCGCCTACTACGACGGCGGCGATGACGACGACGTCTTTTTCCGCTCGCAAGTGTCGCGGCGCGAGCTGCCGCGACGGAGAAATTGGCCAATGAAGGCGCACCAGAGGCAGCGGCGCGCCAGAGGCAGTGACTCGGCCGCGCCAGAGGCCCAGGCAAGGCCCAGGTTCGGCCAGGAGCAAGCAGCCATCAGTGCGAGCAGCAGCTGAGCCCCAGCGCGCACTGGAAAAGGCGTGGTGGGCACCCTATCGCCTTAGCAAGAGCACGGACTGAATCAGTCACTCACACCCGCGACCACAGAGAGAAAGGCCTGGACCGCCGCTCACTTACTGAACAGCCTCAATCGCTCTCTCCCGCCAGAGGCAGGGCCTCCCATCACTCGTGAGTTAACCTCGTCGGCATCCTCTTCGTGAACCTCGTCAGAATCATCAGCGCCGACCTCGTCAGCATCCCTTCCAAGCGGATCTCGCGCTCGTCCTGGACCTCGGCCAAAGGCGGCGCCTCCCGCCAGCGCCCGGTTGCTGGAGGGACATCGTCGTGCCAAACTGCGACTTCAAAAAGATCGCAGGCTTCCCCATCTCGGGCCACGCGCCCCATGCCAGATGACAGCGCCCCCAAGCCAATCCAATTGCCATGGTGGGGACCAAAGAGCGCGGACAATGAGGGGCCACGCTTCTCAGTCTGAGGAGCCAAAAGGCGTATGTCGAAACCGTCGGCGAGGACTGTGTCGCACACGCCTAGCGGGTTGGGAGTCAGCTGCAACTGGCCGGTCCGCCAAGAAGGGGCGACGATCGCAGCGCCAAACTGCGAGTCTTCGACAAGAAGGACCATCTGCAATTCCATCTCGCAGGAATCGTTCAATGTGTCGATCCTAGCGTCCTTGCCAGAGACGAGAAGGACGGCGATTACGTTCCCTGCCAGAAGTGAGGTTCGAAAAGGCAACATGCACATACCGTTCGCCGCTAGTGCCCCAGCAGAAGCCAAGTCCAAAGTAACAGCAGCGGGGGAATCCGCCGCGGTCGCCGGAATCACCGTTGCCGTCTTGAGCCAGGCCCCGCCGCGCAGGCCGAGCACGCACGAGGCGTTGGAACAGGCTTCCCACGCCCTGCTCCGCAGGCGCAAGCTGCCTTCCAGGTTCGCCCTCCAGGGGCGCGCCACCGCGAACGCCACCGCGGCCACCCCGTCCGCGCCAAGGGCCTCGCGCGCGTTCCTGCGCGCGGCGCAGAAGCGCAGGGCGCCCATCGCGGACAGGTCATCCAGCCACGCGCCGAGGAAGGCCTGCATCGCGGGAACGGCCGGCCCCGCGCGCGCGGCCCGCGGCGTCTCGGTCGAGGGGGGGGCGCGCCAGAGGCAGCGCAGCGGCTGAGGCTCAGAGGCTCGCTTGGGCCGATGAGGCTGCGATGACGCGCGGGGCCTTCCTATGGCGCCATCTTGGGGAGTCGGGGGGTCAAAGGGTCGGGGCATCGGGGAGTCGGCGAGTCGGAGACGGGGAGCGGACTCGGATAATCAAGGAGTCGCGGAGTCGGGAAGTCGGGAAGTCGGGGAGTCGGGGAGTCGGGGAATCGGAGAGTAGTCGGAGAGTCCGGGAGGTGCCGGGGAGTCGGAATCGGGGAGTCGGGGAGTCGGGGAGTCGGGGAGTCGGTCGGGGAGTCGGGGAGTCGGAGAGTCGGGGAGTCGCAATCCAGAGCTCCTAGTACGCAGCCCTAGTTTCGAAAACCCTACGAAGGAAGCGCCAGAGGCAGCCTGCAAGCCATTGCCGCGTGAAAGAACAATCAGATAGTACACCACAAACACCGCTACATCCTACGGCGAACGCGCCAGAGCGAGAGGGCGCGCCAAAGGCAGCGGACGCGCCAGAGGCAGCGGAGACGTTTCGGAGAGCGTTAAACTCGTCGGCGCAAATTGCTGGCACTCGATGGGCGCCTTGAGGCACCCGCGGGCACCTGCGCCAGAGGCAGCGCCAGAGTGCTATACGACGAAACTCGTCACAAAAAGAATCCGAATCCTTGTGTTTCAGATACCGCGCCGTCCAGGAGAGCGATGAGACGCTGACGCCCCTGGGACTGCCCCCGGCGCGTGAGCCATTGCTGGACTTCACTGCTAATGGCGTCGCGGGCTTTGCGCTGTAAGAAACGACCTTCCAGCGCCCTGAGGAAGCAAGCGTGCTCCTGCGCAGCACGTTCGAAGAGAGAACGCTGCGGCTGATGGAGAGCCTAGCGAAAGTACCGCTGTCCGCGGTCAGTGCGCTCTGCGGCCGCGTCGCGCAAATCGCTAGCTTCTGCCTGCGCAACTACCATGAGCAGCGTTTGCGCTGGCAGAATTCCCCCGTCGCTCGGCAACGTGCACACCTGGCGCCCTCGCTCCACGAGGAGCGCCGCCGGTTGCGGGCTTGTCGGCAGCGTTCGTGCCCATCTGTCGCTGAAGACGCGAAACTCCCTGCAGCCGGGGAAACGGCGTTGCGTGTGTTCTACGTCCGACGGAGAGAGAGAGAGAGAGAGAGAGAGAGAGCGCCACGATGTTGAGATAGACGCGGTGCGAGTCCCCTGGGGAGCAGATGTCCTGCAGCGTTTTTTTTTTTGTCCTGGTCCATCTGTCGGCGCGAGTACGTCGAAGTGCCGTGCACCAAGACAAACTCGGTCAGCCAAGGCTTCTGCTGCAGATGCAACTGCACGAAGGAGTCGAAGATGGAGACGAGAGTGGCGCGTGTGTCCCAATTCTGGACGCATTCGACATCGACGCCAGCGAAGCCGGTGCGGAGGGAAACCGAGCAGAACATGAAGCGCCAGAGGCAGCGGCGGCGTCGTCCCGCGCCAGAGGCAGCGCGAAAAGCGGAAAGCGAACTACTCGCATCCGAGAGCCGCAACCGCTGCGGATGATGATGATGACGATGATGGTGATGATGATGATGATAATGATGGTGATGACGGTGATGGCGATGATGGTCGCGATGATGGTGATGGCGATAACGACGTCAGCGACACGCGGCAAATCCTTACTATGATGCCCCCCCGTGGTGGACCGGGCAGCTCCAAGATCGCCCCAACAGGGGCCCAAGGCAGCAAGGCATGGCCCCAAGACAGCCCCACGACGGGACCCGCGACGGCCCACGAGTCCCAAGACAGCCCTGAAGAGCCTCGAGGGTCCTCAAGACGGTTCACACAGGCCCCAGTGTACACTCCGAGGGCGCCTGACGGCCTGAGAGCAGAGAGCCCGAAGGTCGCCAGGAGAGCCCCAAGGGGTCCCCAAGACAGCCCAAATCGTCCAAAGAGAGCCCCTAAGAGTGCCCCAGGATGCCCGCCTGGGGCCCCATCCCGAGTGTTCCCCCCGTGGGTTCCCAAAACGCTGGGGAACACGCAATACACTGGCACTTGCCGTCGCTCGGACGTCCATTTCCCGTGCATGTTTCGATCTCGTGCGTGTTTTTTTGTTCGATGGTCCAGGATGGTCCTCGATGGCTCTCGCCGAGAAAAAATGCACACGTCCGAGCGATGCCAAGCCCACGCAGGCGTTTCCAGACGGCAGGGGTGCAGCGGCGACTTACCGTAGGCGTCTTCGATGCCCTCCACGGCCGCAAAGGCAACGAGCCGCTCGGCGAAGCTGTTCTCGTGGTTCATCCACTGCACTGCCCATTCGGCCTTCTTCTGGATCGCTGGCATTGTGTGGATCGCATCGAAGACCATCTCCTTTTCAGCTGGGTCCCTGATGTACTGCTCGATCAGGAGGGAGTACGTTTCGGAATGGATGTTCTCCATGGCCATCTGGAAGCCGTAAAAAGCACGCGCCTCTGGAGACTGGACTTCTGTGGTGAACTGGGCGGCCAAGTTCTCCAACACGATCCCGTCCGAGGCGGCGAAGAACGCCAGCACGTGCTTGATGAAGTGCCTCTCGCTGTCTGCCAGAGTCTCCCAATCCCGAAGGTCCTGCGAGAGGTCGATCTCTTCCGCCGTCCAGAAAGATGCCTCGTGTTTCTTATACATCTCCCAGATGTCGTGGTGCATTATGGGAAACATCACCCAGCGCTGAGAGTTCTCCTGTAGGAGAGGCTCGGACTTCTCAAGCTCGCGATACTCGGCGGAGACGCGGCTGACCGCGGCCGTCGTGGCAGCTTGGGCCGACGGAGCCATCTTTCACCACGCAAGCTTCCAAGGTTCCAGCTGCGGGCTCCACCAGCAAACCGAAATGACTCGAGCCAAAATTAACGAGGAACACATGTCGCGCGCTGGTTCGCTGCGACTGTTTCCGCTCCCGCGACCGGATCCGCTCCTCCAGGCTTGAAGGTCGTATCGTCTTCATTCGAACATGCTGACTTACGCGTGCCCTGCGACACTTCACCCCGCCATCCAGAGCGGCTGCGTGCACGTCTCATGTGAGACGTAATGCTAGAGTGCACGCACCGCGCCCGAAGCGTGAGTTGTAATCCTCCAGTTTTCATCTTCCAGAGTCCAGCTCGCGTTTTGGGCTTGACCACAAAATCTTGGTACTGGCGATGGTCTGGGGCGGCTCTCTGCAGAACTATTATGTTGGACGATCGAGGGCGCAGGATCACAACAACACGAATAAATTGTCAAGCGAGGGCTAGGTACTGAGAAGGGTACGTCCATCGTGCCTTGAAGACGTAGTGGAGTGTCCCAAGGCTCCTAGTGTTGCGAGTGGTGGAGATGTCGAAGGCTCTTGAGGACCGAAAATCCCCGACTTGTCAGAACTCTCGGGCGATCCTGGACACTTCTGGGCCCTTCCTGGGTGTGGAGCATGCGCCTCTAGAAGCCCAAAATGCTCAATGCTTGTCCCACTCACCTGGGCTACCGTAGGCTCCATGACGGTCATGGCCGCACACACACACACACACACACACACACACACACACACACACACGCACACACGCACACACACACACACACACACACACACACACACACACACACGCACTGACTGCGTTGACGCTTTGCGCCACGCACCCTGGTCATTGATATTTGGCATGCATGCGGAAACGGTAGGAAGGAACAACTTAAGACTTAACTGCAACTCCTTGTTGCCTTTTTCTGGCAGCGTCGTTGTAAGCATGCTATTAATCATCCTTCCCTCGTGCTTCCTCTTCCTCTTCCTCATTCTCGCCCTACACTGCGAATTCGTCCCCATCCTCAGCTCTGTTTGCGGAGGCTCCTCCTTGGAGAGCCTCTTTGGGGCCTCACGAAAATGAGTTTAAAGGCTTCTTGAATCCTTCTGGAGGCCTCCTGGGTTCCTTCTGCGAGCCTCTGGGAGCTTCCTCGGGCCACCCTGCTTCCAAACACGGTCTCCGTGAACGACCGGGTCAAGATCTGGATATGCTCGGGGGGCGTAGTGGGGCCATCTTTGGCCGTCATGGGGCTCTCTTCGAGCCATCTTGGAGCCGTATTATGCTGTCTTGGGTTTGGATTGCCTGGGAAATCTCGTGGGAACTGTCGGGCGATTTGTTGGTCTCCTGAGCGGTCTCGGACGCCCGGAAGACCGAAGAGCAGAGCATTCCCAACAGCAGAACCCATTGGAAAATCAAATGTGTGTTGCGTCTCGGAGGCCTCTTGAGCCTCTCTTTTGCATCGTCCTCGGGCGTCTGGTGGGTGTCTGGAGCAACGAAGCGTGTGAGGGGTGTGCCGAAATGGGTGCGGTGGCGTCATGCGAGCGCAGCCACTGGGGCCTTCGGTGGGGCTCCCTATGAGGCACGAAGCGTGTGAGGGGTGTGCCGAAATGGGCGCGGTGGCGTCATGCGAGCGCAGCCACTGGGGGCCTTCGGTGGGGCTCCCTATGAGGCACGAAGCGTGTGAGGGGTGTGCCGATATGGGTGCGGTGGTGTCATGCCAGCGCAGCCACTGGGGCCTTCGGTGGGGCTCCTTATGGGGCCACGAAGCGTGTGAGGGGTGTGCCGGAATGGTCCGGTGGCGTCATGCGACCGCAGTCAGTGGGGCCGTCGGTGGAGCTCCCCACGGGGCCACGAAGCGTGTGAGGAATATGCCGACATGGGTGCGGTGGTGTCATGCGAGCGCAGCAACTGGGGCCTTCAGTGGAGCTCCCTATGGGCTATAACATGTGTGAGGGGTGTGCCGAAATCGGTGCGGTGGTGTCATGCGATCGCAGCCACTGGGGCCTTCGGTGGGGCTCCTCCCTATGGGGCCACGAAGCGTGTGAGGAGTGTGCCGAAATGGGTGCGATGGTGTCATGCAGCCACTGGGGCCTTCGGTGGACCTCCATATGGGGCCATGAAAGGTGTGAGGGGTGTGCCAAAATGGGTGCGGTTGTGTCATGCGAGCGCAGCCACTGGGGCCTTCGGTGGAGCTCCCTATGGGCCACGAAGCGTGACGGGCGTGCCGAAACAAAGACATGCGGAGGGCATATGCGAGGAGGGGAAAGAGGGAGGGGGCAGCGGGAGGAGTGAACGCGGGGACCGTGTCTTCAAAACGAGGACCTAACACCACAAGATGGTTGATAGATGCCACCATGCCCGGAGGCACGAGTCGGAGTGTCCTCAGATCCCTTCGAGTTCTCTGCGTTAGCTTCTGCAGGCATCATGTTCAAAAGAGGGCGTTCTCGGGAGGTCCCCACGAGACTTTTCGAGAGGTGCAGAGCGCGTTGTTCGGGGCACGCTTGTCCCTCGTGGTTTCCGATGGCACCAGGGACCGTCCTGGAGCCCTCCCGGGCGCCTCTTGGGCCCTGGGCCGTCTTGGAGGCCCTGGAGGGCGGCCCAAGAAGCCAGCATCGTCAACATCTCGTGGTGATTGAGCGTGCACGACGGCCCAAGAGGCGCCGAAGATCGCCGCAGCACGGCCCAGAAGCCCCCAAGACGGGCCCACGATGAGGAGCAAGAGCTAACATGCCCGCGGCCCCAAACATGCACCAAGATCCCACCACAAGCCCCCGATGTGCGCCCGAGAGGCCCAAAGAGGCCCCCAAGAGGGCCAACTCAGGCCCCAAGAAGCCCCAAAACAGCCCCAAAGCGGCCTCCACGAGGCATCCGGGAGGCCTCCGCAGAGATTCCTCGCAGGCGTCCAGGAGGCATCTGACCTACCAGTGGCGGGATGAGCCGAAGGCCACCAGGTATTTCTGTATGCATTTATGCTAAGCAGTAAGTGCGCAATGAATTAAGCACGTACATAAGTAGCACGTACGTAAACAAGTACGCACGTACAAACATAAATAATATGGTAGATATGAAAACATCGGAATACGAACACTAGTATGTAGGTGTATATGTATGTATGAATGCGGGTATGTGTGTGTGGATGTATATATGATTGTGCATGTATGTGTGTATGGATGTGTGTATGAATGTGTGTATGTACGTACGTAGTCATGTATGTATGCATGTATGCATGTACGCATGCATACATACCATTAAGTACGCATGTAGGTATTAATGTATGATTGTTCGATTGTGTGCAGGTGTGCCTGCATGCATGTATAGTATGGACGTGTGTACGTACACATATGTATATATGTATGTACGGATGTGTGTATGCATGCATGCTCATATGTGTATATATATGTATATGTATGCACGTGGATGCATGTATGTGTGCATGTGTGAGGCAGGTCGGTTGGTATACATGTATGTACGCATGTATATGGCGAATGAACACGCGCACACACACACACATGTACGTGTGCGTGCACCTGAACAAACTTGCAGAGCAAGTTGTTGTTGTTTGTTCTGCCCCAAACAGCTTGACTGTAAAAGGTCGTACCTGGACCTTTGTAGAGACCGAATGCGGGGTCTTGGACTAACGTGCGCCTTGGACTAAGGGTCGGGTCTCAGGTATGGTCTCAGGCATGGTCGCCGTCTCCCGTATGGCCTCCCTTATGGTCTCCCGCGTGGCCTCCCGTATGGTATCCCGTATGGCCTTCCGTATGCTCGGCGCAGGATCATGTTGTGCTGTCTTACTGATTATGCTGTTTAGGGCATCCTGGCGCGAGGGTGCGATTTGTTCTTCTCCCTCCGAAGACGACCACCCCCCGCACACAGTAGGCCCCACGAGGCCCCAGCGAGAGACCTCCTGACGCAGCGCAGGGCGGAGGGACAGGCCGGAGGTCACAAGATAAGCTTCGCGTGCAAAGTTTAGGTCGGGCGTGTCGCCCTACAGGCGGACTTTGGACGAAAAATTAAAAACAGTCAAAACATCCTCCAACATGGCCTTAAACCATCGTCCCCGGTCTGTGCTTTGACTACGATAAAAAATTCCCCCTGTAGAAGGCCAGGCCCGACTTACTGCTGAGTCTTCGCGTGCTAACACTTCGTGTGCTACGTCGTAAGGGCCAGGAAAACGGCACAGGCATACAACCTTCGCATAGGGGGGAACATGCGAACCCTCCCCCACCCTCCCCCTCAGAAATCGTAGGGGGGTAGGGGTAGGGTTCGCATGTGGCCCCCTATCGGAGATCCGTTGTTTCCCCGGATCGGCGAGCGCGCTCCCCAGCGCCCCCCCCCCCGGCCGCGGCCTCCTCGGAGATTCGCCACACCAGGAAGTACGACACCAGCAGGGGCGGCACGGCCTGGGAGGCGCTCCGGCTCGGCGAGAAGCTTGGAAGAAGAACATGACCGCATAAACATGAGCTTTGGGCGCTGCGCGCGGATTTCTTGGATCCGCGCTGGACCCCCCCTCCCTGGCGCGCGGAGCGCGCCAGGGGGCGGCGCCGGAGGCGCCGCCCGGGGGCCCAGGCGGAGATCCAAGAAATCCACGCGGAGCGCCAACAGTGTATGTTTGTGTGGTTCTTCGAGGGGCGGACAAACAGGTCCCTCCCACAAGAACGGCGCCCATGCACAGCACCATGCCTGGACTCTGTTCGGGCCCCGCTCCAACGCGGTACGGTGCACAAATGGTTCGGCTCTGGGGGCCAGAAAGCTACAGTGCGGGCGCGGCCGCGAGAAACCCTCGCAAGAAACCCAACCCTGTGAACCCGCGCGCGAGGTGCACCTGAGGGGAAACCTGGAGCACCCTGAACGCAGCAACTTCTCTGACGGCCGCGGGGAGTCAGCGCGCAGCGCGCGGAGCGAAGAAACCCAAGATGCCCTGACGAAAATCATATGGTTTCTTGCTGCGCACCCCCACCGTGTGCACCGTACCATTCCTGGGTCGAGGATCGCCGACGCCTCGAGAGGCGCCGAGGTGGTACGGTGCAGGCATGCCGTCCGCGGGCCTCCCACGGGATCTCGCCCTGCGCAAGGTGCTTCGTGCTCGTGCCGTGCTCGCTCCCCCCCGGGCCGTCTCCGCCGCTGCGGCAGGAGAGGCCGAGGCGGAGCCGGCACGAGAGATCGCTGGAGCACCGCACGGGTCGAGCCCTGCTTCTTCATCCTCCTCTTTTCTCTGACCCCCCCTATTTACACTCGGCCAGGATAGCAAGGATGCGCGGTAGGGATGCAGAGGCCCTGGAACGCCATGTTGACGTTGTCCGTGCGGAGCGCAGCGGAATGCCGAAGGATGCCGGATACCGAGGGGGCAAGAATGCAGTGGCAGCCTTGGAAAGTTGCCCCATCCTTCCTATCAGGGTTGACTGTACTCCTCTCGGCGGCGAGCCCAGGGGGAGGTGAGAGGGGGCAGGCCTTCTCAGCAGGCGACGAGTCTTCAAAGAAGCCCTCGCGCCTTCTGAGGGGCCGTCTGCGCCTCCGAAGGAGGCTTGCAGAGCTTCCCAGGGTGGAAGAAGAATCCAAGACTAATGGGGCCCCAGGACACACACACACACCTAAATACACACAGATAAAATGATTCCCCATATTTTCCGGTATTTTTGGAGGGTTTTCGTCTTCCCTCCACACTTCCCATATTTTCCCATATCTTCTGGGGAATCGACGATTAATTGTGCCTGAGTGTTTTTTTCCCTCCTGAAAGACATCCGCGCGGAGCGTCATAAGTTTGTTTGTGACAGGCCTGCCCACCCCGCACGTCTCCGCAATCCGCTGGCGGGGTCCTCCAGTCCTGAATCAGGTCGGGCACGTCCCCCTACAGAATGATGTTGGAAGAAAGTAAAACATAGCCAACAAATATTCAAAACAATGTTCAAAAATACTCAAAAGGCGTCCCCATCGTATCTTTTGGGCGATGTTTGAACATTATTTCGGTAGAGGGACCGGCCCGACCTGAGTTCAACCTTGAGCTGCTGGCCTGGCTCGGCGGCTGGTGTCCTTCGGCCTCGGGGGCCAGCACCGCCGTCGCCGCCGCGTCGACGCGGCCCCGAGCTTGTCGCGCGATCCGTCGAGCGCCCATGGATTGGAGACCTGGAAGTGGGCACCAGCATCAACACAAGGGGCTGCCTCCACAAGGGGAAGATGATCCTAGATTTCGGTTTTGGTGGTTATAGTTCGGCCACCTTGGAAGCCAGAATGTTACCACCATCACCGAGATCGGGATCTTCTTCCCTCGGTGGAGGCGCACTGCCGATATTGGTGTCGGTGTCAACCTCTAGGCCTGCGAATGGATGCGCCCTGGGCCAGGGAGTTCCGATGCGGTCCGCCGCAGCGACGAGGAGCCTTCGGGGAGAGGGAGGGGGGGCTCAACCCTGCGGGGCACGGGGCACGGTCCGCGTGAGGCCTGCCTTGCCGTCGCTCGGACGTCCATTTCCCGTGCATTTGTCGGTTTCGTGCGTGTCTTTTTTTGTTCGATGGTCCAGGATGGTCCTCGATGGTCCTGGCCGAGAAACAAATGCACACGTCCGAGCGATGCCAGGCTGTGCCGACATGGGCGCGGCGAGGCTAGGCGGGCAGCCACAGCTGGTGTCGTAGGTCTAGGTCGGGCGTGTCCCCCTACAGGCGGATTTCGGATGTTGGACGAATTATAAAAAAGGACCAATAATACACATGGTCAAAAAGAGTCGAAACCTCGTCCCCGTACTATTTTGTCGAACTGTCTTCGAACATTTATCCTGCAGAGGGACAGGTCCGATCCGACTTAACCGCAGGCGTAGCTCCCTGTCGGGCACGATGCGCGCAAGGGGTGTGCCGAGGCGGGCGCGGGGCCGCGAGCGGGCGCCCACGGGGGCCTTCGGTGGAGCTCCCCCTGGGGGCCGCGAGGCGCGCGAGGGGCGTGCCGAAGGGGCGCGCGTGGGGGGACGCCTGCGCGCCCTGCCGCCCGGGGCCCGCGACGGAGCTCCCTAGGGGGGGGGCCCACGGAGCGTCCGTGGGGGGGCCCACGGAGCGTCCGTGGGGCGGCGTGCCGACATGGACAGATGCGGAGGGCAGAGGCGCCGGCTGTGGCGACGCAGGGGGGCGGTGGGAGGGAGGGGGGGAAACACCACGACAGCGCTGTCTCGCCGGCACGAAGGCCCCAACACCAAAGGATGGTTGGGGTCACAGCTCGGCCCTCGAGCCCCGAGGCGCGATGCCCAGCCTCGCTGTCCTGATGTCCTGTTCCTGTGCGGGGCGATGCCTCCTCCTCCTCCGACAGAGCAGTCCGAGAGAGAGAGGCGGAGGCGGCAGGAGGCCCAGACGTAGCCGTCCAGGACGTAGTCGTGCGCGTAGGCTATCTCCTGCCGGTGCGTGCTGCAGGCTGCTGGGAGTACAGCCGTGGGCCTGACCTAAGGAACGATACATAAGCAACGAAGACCCTTTTTGTCTCCAGGGGACAACGCACAAGGAACGATACATACATATATATATATATATACACAACGCATGGGGGACGAACAAAAACGCATGCGAGCCTAAGGAACGACTGAGCCCCTTTTGAATAGTAGGGGTTCCTTATTCAAGCCGCTCAATGTACAGGGGTTCGAAGGATATAGCGGGGTCAGCAGCATTGACGCAGCCAAGCTCTCTGAGCGCAGCGGAGGCCTCGACAGAAGGGCAACCCAAGAAGACGGGCCTGGGCCGCGAGAGGGGGAAACGGGGAGACAAGACAGAACGGGCCACCACAGGACAGGACAGTAACCGTTCGGCGAGGCTCATCGAAAACTGTAGGGCTGAAACACGCACTGTGCCTCAGGCGGGAAGGCCTCCAATTCAAGACTTAGGTCGAACATGTCCCCCTACAGGCGGGTTTTGGACGAAACATCAAACATAGTCAAACAATGTTCAAACATGGTCAACAATAGTAGAAAAATCGTCCCCATACTATATTATGACTAATTTCGAATATTCCTCCTGTAGAGGGACAGGCCCGACTTAATTTTAAACACGCGTAGCAAGCGTGTAGACAACGCAATGGCTCTCACGCAGAACGGCCTCCACTTCACAAAAGACTCGTGGTACGCGCAGGGGGGAGGGGGGGGGGGCAGCGGGAGGACGGTGAGGAAAGGCGGCAGGGCAGAGGGGAAGGGGGTCAGGGGACGGAGTCGGAGGGAGGAGGGGGAGGCCTCCTAGATGGGGTCGGAGTAGATGGGGTCCGAGTAGATGGGGTCGGAGGATCTCGCAGCATCGCCGATACATCTCCGAAGCATCGCCGATGTATCGACGATGCATCGGCGATGCACTGGCGACGTCGGCGATGCGACGTTGGCGTGGAGAAAATCGGGCTCCACATCGAGCCGCATCGGCGATGCATCGGCCAGGAATGGACGGGAGCAGAGGCCAGGGAGGACAAGGGGAGGGTTGGATGAAAGGAGGGGGACACGAAACAATAAGAACAAAAACTGAGGCAATAACGTCAGGAATTCGAGCCGGGAGGTTCAGGATAAGCGTGCGCCTCAGGACATACAAGCGCACATGAATCACTCCGCGGGAAGCAGAACTGGCGCTGGTTTATCAACGATTATGTGCCAGCCCAGTCCGCGTGTGCACGATACTGCCGCGTCAAGAAGCAACGCCCACTATAACACGCGCGATCCACTGAAACCCAGGACACTGCAACTGGATGACAATCCGCATGACACCCTAGCTTGTCTGTGCACCGCCCTCTCATCACATATGCTGGCAATGAGGAAAAAACGACCGTGAGCGACCACTTCCTGGACTCCGGCGCTTTCGGTATTCGATCGGGACTGACGTTGCATCCTGAGCAGTTGTTCTGCGGTTCCAGGGCACAGGGAGGGGGGCGGGGTGGGGGGCTGGCCATCGCTCGGACGTCCATTCCCTGTGTTTGTTTCGGTTTCGTGCGTGGTTTTTTCGCCAATTGATCAAGGATGCTCCTCGATGGTCCTCGCCGAAGGAAAACTGCACATGTCCGAGCGATGCCAAGTGCACATGCACGTCTGCGCCGAGACTCCGACGACAAACCAGCGTGTCGCTCGAGAAGTCCCAACACAATCTGACTGCGAACGGGCAAACGCAGGTAACACCCTCTGACGGGTCCCCCTTGGGCTGCCCCAGTGCTGTGCCTGCTACATCGCGGAGGTCATGTGGCTGAGAGCGGGGACGAGTCGGAAATGCCACAGTCAGCAAACCGCTCAGGGCGTATCCGCAGTCTGGGCGCGAACGGGCAAGTGCAGTACCCCCTGGCGGCTCCTCCTTGGGTTGCCAAACCGATGTGCCTGATCTATCGAGGTGATCATGCGGGCCTCGAGCAAAAACAGAAGCGGGGATGCCAACCGAGCGAACAACTCGAGACATACTCGCACTCTGGGTGCGAGCGGGGCATTGCAACACTACCTCCTGGGGTGTCCGAATGGCATGCCTGCTACATCGCGGTGATCATGCGGCAGGGCGAAAGACGACGAAGACATCACCCGAACAAACCGCTCGAGATATCCCCACAACATTCGGGGGCGCGAAAGCATGGAGTAGCGATCCATGGATTTGGAGCGCGGCCGCCAAATCCATGGATCGGGAGAGGTGCCCTCCCCAAGATGCGGCTAGGGCCGCCTTGCTCGGCGGCGGAAATGCGCGATTTCCCATGGAAACGTGATCCGTCGCTAATCCACACACCCGTGATCCATGTTGTCGATCGCGTGAAATATGCGGCGGAAGCGAAATTATAATCTACGTACACATATGTATATATATATATATATATGTATATAGATATACACACAGGCAACTCCCACTTGGGGTACGCAACACGAAATACATTATGGATCATGATGTTCACGGGGCTCTCTCAACGCAGAGAAGCCGTGACTGCAAACGAGCGCCTCTCGCAAAAGACATCGCCAACATCTTGCCGCGACTGGGTGAGTGCACCCTCTCACGAGCAGGTCCCCCTTGGGGCACCTAGTTGCCACGCCTACAACATCGTAGTCAGCATGGGCGAGTCTGAGCATGAGAAGCGAGTGTGGGCGGGTCTGAGTGTGAGAGAGAGAGACAGAGGTGTGGCTGGTCTATGACCAAGCTCAGAACGAGTGTCTCTGAGTGTGAGTGGCACGAGTGCGTCAGTCTGAATATGGGTATGTCAAGTGTGCGTGGATTGAGTATGAGTGAGTCTGAGTATGAGGGAGCCTGAGTCTGAGGTAGCCTGGGTGCAGGTGACTGGAAGTAAAGAGTAACTTAGCGTGGGTAAGTCTGAGTTGGACTAAGTTGAGTATGAGTGTGTGAGGGAGGCATGTCGGTGAGGGAGGGAGGCGAAGCCATCACACTAATAACAAGACACCCATCTTAGGAGAGGGGGGAATTGCCGAGGACATACTTCATGCTTGCCCTGAGACGGCGAGTCACTTAAATGGGCCAGCACTGCCACCCTCTCCGGTATCACATACCGCATACCCAGCTCCTGGTATCCCTCTCAAGGTGACTATCGTTCTGAATTCTCCTCCACACTGAGAAAGAATATCATTATCCTGCCACGTGATCTCTGCCTCGGAGCCGTGGCCATACCAGTCCGTGCTAAAATTGAACCAAGCTCCAACTAGGAGGGGGACGATCACCGCTCCGACACTCAGGCTGCAGCACTCGTCTGGGAAAAGACTATTTCGATTACATCGTGATCATCATCGCCACGTCGCTGCTCATCTGCAGTGGTGGAGCGCGCTTTCGCTCTCTCAGCTGAACGTTGTTTTATTCGTCGCTTCGACATTGGGCGGAAGAGGGGGGGGAAGGGGGGTCTGGCACCAGACCTCTGCTTAGTGCGACTGTCTGCAAAGAGTGCTGCACCCACTCGAAACGGGCGCCCAAAAACAGCCAAGATCTACTCCAGGGGGTGGGGTGGGGGGGGGCGGAGGGGGGGGCATGCGAGGGCCCGCGATAGAAAACGCGCTCACCAGTCTGGAACGACTCTTAACCAGCCTCGAACGTATCCCTATCCCTCAGATTTACAAGCCCTCAGAAACGGAGGGAATCCCTCAGATCGGCATCGAGATGAGGCGATGCCAATCATAGGGATAAGGATATGTTCCAGGCTGGTGAACTCTGACAGAGGCTTGGGACGTCCCGCCCCAGGGGCCGAGCCCCCGCGGCCCCAGCGTCCGTGTGCAGCATGCCGAGGATGCACGCCTCTGCAGAATGAGGGCCGGGGGAGGAGCGCCCGGGCAGCTGGTGGCGAGGGTGGACGTGCCGACGTGGAATCGGCGACACGTCGCCGGCAGATCAGCGATAGGGCCCCCCTTCTGGCGCTCCACTGAAGTCGGGCGAGTCCCCCATACAGGGGGATTTGGGGCGAATAATGAAAAAACATGCTCAAAAAATACCCCCCAAAAGGGCAAAAGTCGTAAAAACACATCGTCCCCGACTATTTGTTGACCATTTTTGACCACTCCTCCTGTAGAGGGGCAGGCCCGACTTGACGCTCCGCACGGTCTTCTTGTCGGATCTGCGTTGGGCCCCCCGAGCGGCACCTCGGGCGCCGCCCCTGGCGCGCTCCGCGCGCCAGGGAGGTGGGGCCCAGCGCAGGTCCACGAGATCCGTGCGGAGCGCCAGAGTCCGTGCCCAGCGCCAAGGTCGGGAGCGGCCACGAAGGGGGTGTCCAAGAGGGGGGGGTGCAAATCATGACCAGCGGCATGTGCGCGGCCCAGCGGGGGGGCCAGGGACGTAATGAAATAAGAAGAGGCGCCATGAAATCTGGGGAAATGCAGTGCGGGCGCGGCCGCAAGAAACCCTCGCAAGAAACCCAACCCTGAGAACCCGTGCGCGAGGTGCACCTGAAGGGAAACTGGAGCACCCGGAACGCAGCAGCTCCTCCCACGGCTGCGGGAAGTCAAGTCACCCGCGCAGCGCGAGGAGCGAAGAGACCCAGGACACCCTGACGAAGAGAATATCGTCTTCTGGATGCGCGCTCCCACTGTATCCACCCCCCCCATAGTCATCCCTAGGGTTAAGTCGGGCCTGCCCCCCTACAGGGGGATTTTGGACGCAAAAATAAAAATACTCAAAAGATGTTCCCAACATGTTTTAAAATAGAACAAGAATAGTCCCAAGACTATGTGCTGATTATTCTTTGGCTATCTGGGAATATTTTTGGCTATCCCCCGTCGGGGCCGGGCAGCGCTGCGCGGGCATCCCGGGGGGGTCGGCGCGTGCCCTCTCTGAGCATACCCCCTTAGGTCGGGCCTGTCTCCCCTACAGGGGGATGTTGGGCGAAAAATTAAAAATGTCCAGCAATTATGCAAAAGATACCCCAAAAATATTCAAAACAGATTCAAAAGATATTCCCCCTGTAGAGGGACAGGCCCGACTTAAAGCCTACCCCCCCTGACGATGCCCCCGAGGAGCAGCAGGGCAAGTGCTGGGCAGGCGGGCATACGGCAGGTTCGTGTCGTGGACGACTTCTGCGCTGCCTTCTGAGACCGCGAGGATCGCTCAGCCCCCGACGATCGACGGCTTCTCGATGTCCAGGTCGTTCCAGATTGGCCGACTCTGAGTCACTGACGGCGTTCCATGCGAACCTGCCGCAGCGAAGCTGGGACCTCCGGAGCACCGCGGCCGAGTCTTCTGCGCGAGACTGGCGGCGGAACTCGTGTGCGAAGGGGCCCCGAGTGAGGAGTATAGCGTGGGGCGAAGGCTCCGTCTTCGAGGCGGGGACGGCGACGGGGCGAGAGCTGCGGGGGGCGAGGGCGGAGCGACGACGGAGAGCGAGAGTGCCCGACGAGCCCCGCCCCGGGGCCGTGCGGCCGCGCAGCGGCCGCAGAGAGAGGGAGAGGCCGCCGACCCCGGCCTGCCCGGGGGTTGCGGAGGCGCGTTGGGCCGAGTGGCCGTCTCCCTCCCCGTCCTCCCCCCCTCCCCCCTGGGGTCCAGCAGTGGAGGCCTCCTGGACAGGGTCCGAGCAGATGGGGTCGGAGGATCGCGCCGCGTCGCCGACGCATCGGCGATGCAGTGACGACGTCGGCGATGCACCAGCGACGCCAGCGTGGAGAGTCCGCCGACCCTGTCGGCTCTGTGCGAGAGGTTTGTCTGTTCGAGTCGTCGTCTGCGTCGTCCCGTTTCCTTGCACCCTCCTCAAAAGCGTCAGCGAGAGAAAACCCTCGAAATGTTGTAATCGAAACGAAGGGAAGCCTCAGCTTTGATCCCTCCCCCGTCGTGGTCAGATACTCATCCCCCCCTGGGGTTCCCAGGGCTGCATCAAGAAGCAACAAAAAGGCCAAGAGTGCCCCAAGAGGCCCCCGAGACGGTCCAAGAAAGCCCCCAATCGCCAAACGATCGGTCCAAAACGCCGTCACGCTCCCAGACTGCCACGGAGACCTCCAAAACGCCCCAAGAGGCCTGCAAAGGCACTCCCGAGAGGGCCCCAAGAAGCAAACATCATTGATTTCCCTTGGCTTTTTGACAGATTTGGGCGTTCTCACCTTTTCCGCTGTCCGCCGCTCCTTGACAGCCGAAGAGGCCCTCAAGATCGCCCCAATAAGGCCCAAGAGGCTTCCAAGAGCGTTCAAAAACATCTCACGAGAACCCCAAGACAGCTCAAAACACCTCCAAGACGGCCCCAGAGGCCCCCAAGACGGCTCGAAGACTGCCCCCAAGACGGCTCCAAATTCCCCCCCCCCAGAGGCCCCCGAGAGCCTTCCCCGGGAGGGGTCCGAGCTGCTACATGCATCCCCAGGGCCTCTGGAGCCCTCCAGAGCCTCAAGACAGCCCAAACAGAGCGCCAAAACAGTCCAAGAAAGCACCAGAATGGCGCCAAGCTGCCCCACGACGATCTGGGATGGCTTCGAGACGGCCCATGAGGCGCCCACAACAAGGCAAGAATGTTCCCAGTGGCCCCGAGAAACGAATACCTTCGGAAAACGTGCATTTGCAACAGGTTCGCCTTCTACGTCTTGACAGGGTCACAGACGGCCCAAGGAGCTCCCACGATCAGCCCAAACCGGCCAATGAGACCCCAAAGAAGAAAACCCCAAGACCACCCAAGGGGGCCCCCAAAAATGGCCAAGACGAATCAAGAGTGCCCCGAAGATGGCCCACGAAAGCCCCAAGGGGGCCCTAAGAAAAGCCTAAGATGAGGAATACGCAATGACATGTCGAGCCGTCCGTCTCAAGATAGCCACAAGATCCACCCAGAACCTCCGAGGCGCTCCCAAGAGGCTCCCCGAAGCTCCGAAGACCCCCCCACGAAGCCCCACAAAGCCCCCAGGATACCCCCAAGAGCAGTCCAAGGGACCCCTGAGAATCATCCCAATGCCTCTCATATGCATCAACGAGACTTCTGACCCACTACATACCTTCCGCGATCGCAGCAAGCTGCCACTTGTCCTAGAGGCGCCCCGCTCTCATACCTATGGCAATCACCACTCTGCACGTCCTTCTCGTCATATTCGTCTCCCAACCCCATATTATGTTCCCACTCCTCCTCCGTCTCCCATTCTGGTTCGTCATGTTCGCGTTCCCCGTTGTCTCCTCTCTCCAACCCGTCGCAGACGCGCCGCTAGCCTCCACGCTCCGTTCCATGACGCTGCATCATGCTTTGCACTACTTCCACTCTCACTGTCTTCCTCCGTCTCCTCCACTTGCTCTGCTCGCGTCACTGTTGCTTCTCCTCCACCTCATCCTCCTCCTTTTCGTCCTCCTGCCCTCTTCCTCCTCCTCCTCCTCCTCCTCCGCCTCCTCCTCCTCCGCCTCCATCTCCCAAATTCACGTCTTCTGCGCACGGCCCTCGTTCGCCTCCATCCGTTTCTCGCCGCCACCTCGCGCCCCTTTGCGCGCACGGCTCGTTCGCTCGCCCCAGGCGCTGCACTCGGGGCCACGCAGGGACCACGCAGCCAGAGGCGGAGTGAAGCTCCCGCGTCGCAGGTGCTCCTGCATTGAAGCGCGTCACCCCCGTGGCTTTGCTGTGTTTGGAGTTTAGCTCGTGCTCCTCCACCCATCCTGCTCCTCCGACTTCCCCTCGTCCTCCCTCCCTCCTGGTCCTCCTCCTCCTCCTCCTCCTCCTCCTCCTCCTCCTCCTCCTCACGTCCTTGCTCGTCCTCCTTCTCCTCCTCGAGCTTCCCCTCTCGTTCCCTCTTGTTTCCCCTTCCCCGTCTCCCTATCCCCCTTCCTCCCGTCCCCTTTTCGTCGTCTCGTGTCCCCCCTCCCCGCACTCCTCCTCCTCCTCCTCCTCCTGGCCCTCCTCCTCCTCCTCCTACTCATCCTGGCCCTTCTCGTCTTCCTCCTCCTGCTTCTCCTCCTTCCACTCCTCCTCCTCCTTCCACTCATCCTCCTTCCACTCTTCCTCCTCCTCATCCTCTTCCTCCTCCTCCTTTTCCTCCTCCTCCTCTTCCTCCTCCCCCCTACGCTCAACGCGCGTGCTCCTCCTCCCGCTGCCTCATCCACGTTACCATTTCTCCTCTTCCCTACACCGTCGTTCGTCCATCATAAATGCCACCTCCTCACTCCCCCGCCCACCGTTTCCTGGTAGCTAGAACAACAATTTAAGAGTAAACACAGGGGCAGGAGGCAGTCGTTCGAAATGTCCGCCGAACCTTGCCAAATGCCCAGAGGCAAAGGGAGCTCCTGAAGCCTGTTGAACATGAAAACGACAGTATCGCCGACGAGCCTTCCACGCCCCCGAAGATGTACCAGTACAGCCCGTTCACTTCCTAGGGCCCAGTGAAATTGAGGCAGACCCGAAACAAGCTGCAGTGTAAGCCCGAGCTCTGAACCATGCTCCACAAGAAGAGTCCCACGAGCGACAAAGGCTCTTTGTTCCGAGGGTCAACGGAGTGGCGCTGGCCACTTGAACAACGAAGATAACAACACAAAATGGAGGTGACGATCATCGGGCCAGGGGTCCCAAACCGCGACGCCAGGTTCTGCTCGTGACGAACCGCGACGCCAGGCTTTGCTCGCGACGTCGACCCCAGGATGCCTCGACCCATTCCATGCCCCGAGACGCGTGCTCTGTCCCGAGAAGCCCACCCACGGCCGCAGGGCCCGGGGGCGGCGAGGGCCCCCTGAGCAGGGCGAGCACACGAGAGCCCCCCCAGTCGAAGTGCTGGCTGCCGCAGGGCGCGAGGGGGGCCCTGGGCAGCGAGCGCGCGCGCGACGGCCATCGGACCACAGGGGGGCCACGGACCGGCCGCCCGGACCACGCCTGGAGCACGACCTGAGCGGCACGTCGGCGGGAGCCCCGCCGCTGCCGCGAGGCTCGCCCCCCAGCAGATGCCCCGACGGGGGTGCAGAGATGCCCCAGACAACTGAAGGGGCCCTGGGACACACACACACACACACACACACACACACATATATATATATATATATATATAGGCACAAATAGCTGGATTCCCCATATATGTTCCCATATGTTCTGGGTTCTCTTCCCTCCTACTTCCCATAGTTTCCGATGTTTTCTGGGGGATCGACGATTCATTGAGTCTATGTGTTTCCTTCCCTCCTGCGCCCTTCGGACTGCGCTCCTCGACTCTCTCTTCCTCGGCCCTCGCTCCTCGACCTCGCTCCCTCGACCTCGCTCCCTCGACCGTCGACCCCCACCACCCTGGACCCTCGACCCTGGGGCCTCCGTCGGGCCGGGCGAAAGGGGGGGGATGGCAAGAGGGGGGGGGGGGAGAATCAGCTCACGTAGCTGATTTTCCTGGCGCCTCCCGGCGCCGGAGGCGGCCATGTACCGAGGAACGGGCCCCTCGGTGGGGCCGAAACCAGCTGCATGCAGCAGATTTCGTAACCCCCCCTTTCCCAATCCCCCCCTTTCGCTCGGCCCGACCCTGGCCCACCCCGAGGCCCCCGAGGCCGGACGTCGCCCCCCCCCGGTCCAGGACTAGCCTCGGACCCCTCGACCGCCGACGCTCGGGCTCGACCTCGGGTGCCCTCGAGCCTCGCCCCCATCCGTCCTCCATCCCGCGGCGGGGGCCTCGCCCGTCCCGCCCCGTCTTTGTCCCGCGCCGAACCCGCGCCGAGTCGACTCCCCGCCGCGTCCGCGCCGAGCCCGCGTCGGGAAACCAGGACCAAGGGGGCGCCCGCCTCGGGGACCAGCGAGGCCCCCCGCCGGTCCCGCGGCGCCGGCCGCCGCCGGCGGACGGTGGCGAGCGGTGGGGGGCGCGGCGCGCGGCGCGCGGGGGCTGCCATGAGGAAGATGTGGTCGGAGAACCAGCCGGACCTGGCCGGGGTGCCCCGGCGGCACGTTGCTCACTCGCTGCGGGGTGGCGCAAGAGCAGGGCCCGACCCGGCCAGCAGCTGGCCCGCTGGCTCAGCCAGAGGCGGTGCCGACGAAAGATCGGCTGCACCGAGGCCTACTCCGGGTTTCTTAATAAGCGTCGGGGGGGCGCCACCCCCGCCGACAGCCCCGCATCGACCCCCGTCGCGGAGAGCCAGCGCGCGCCGAAGGCGCTCCAACCCCCGTCGCGGCGCGACGACGAGGCGAGGTTGACCACCCCCGTCGGGGGGGCCCCCCCGCTTATCAAGAGACCCAGAGTATCCCCCCTGCCACCTTCCAGGGCTGCCAAGCTGGGTGCCACGGCGGAGGGCAAGGCTCGAGAGGAGCGAGGCTCGAGGAGCGTGGCTCGAGGGCATCGGGCCTCGAGGAGCGAGCACATCGAGGGTCGAGGGGCGAGCATCGAGGGGCGAGCGTCGAGGATGGAGGTTCGAGAGGAGCGAGGCGCGAGGGCGTCGAGCCTCGAGGAGCGAGCACATCGAGGGCCGATGCTCGAGCGTCGAGGGGCGTGGCTCGAGGGCACCGAGTCTCGAGGAGCGAGCACATCGAGGGCCGATGGTCGAGGCTCGAGGGGCGAGCGTCGAGGGTCGATGGTCGAGAGGTGCGAGGAGCAAGGGCCGCGGAGCGAGGGCGTGGGGTTTAGGAGGCTTTTTTTGTTCTGGGAGGGCGAGGAATCGGACGGGGAGGACGAGTACCAAACCACTGCACACAGCTGGGTCACTTGAGAAGCGTGGGGGGCCCCCCCCCCGACGGGGGCCAACCTCGCCTCGTCGTCGCGCCGCGACGGGGGTCGGAGCGCCTTCGGCGCGCGGTGGCCGTCCGCGACGGGGGTCGATGCGGGGCTGTCGGCGGGGGTGACGCCCCCCCGACGCTTGTAGGGGGCAAACAATACACCCGCATGATAACCAACACGACAAGCGAGGCCGTTTAGTAAACGCACCCACCTAAGGAATCAAACAGGGCAAGGCTGTTTAGTAAACTCCCAGGGCCGTTGAGTAAACGCTGTGATTGTTCTTCCCATGAGCTGATTGAGAACATCGGATTACAGCTGGAGGGCCACCTGTTGGCGCCAGCAGGCGGGCCAGAGTGGGACAAGTACAGGATGACCTGAGGAACAGCGAGCCTCCTTCCCCTTCCAAACCCAACGTGAGCTTTTTTTGTTGGGGCGGAAAGGGGGGGGGAGGGGGGGGGGGGCTCCAGACCTCTGCTTAATGCGGCTGTATGCGACAGTGCGTCCCATGCGGGGAGACTCCACCTGCTCGAAAAAGGTGCCAAAACAGCCAAGATCTACTCCAAGGGGGGGGGAGGGGGGGTGCGAGGGCCCGCGCAGATCGGCAAAACAATGAATAAACAAACGATCACAAAGCGGTCCTTATTTCAGCGTCTTGGTTGTAACACACCAACTTTCGGAGCTCCGCGCGCCGCCAGGGGGGCCCTGCGCCAATTCCAAGAAATCCGAGCGAAGCTCCGAAAGTTTGGGTGCTTGTGCAGCTTCTGTTTCGTCGAGGAGAGGAGGAGGAGGGGAGGAGGAGGAGGAGGAGGAGGAGGAGGAGGAGGAGGAGGAAGGAGGAGGAGGGGGAGGAGGAGGAGGAGGAAGAGGAGGAGGATGAGGAGGAGGAGAGAGAGGAGTAGGAGAGGAGGAGGAGGAGGAGGAGGAGAGGAGGAGGAGGGGGAGGAGGAGGAGAGAGGGGGAGGAGGAGGAGGAGGAGGAGGAGGAGGAGGGGAGGAGGAGGAGGAGGAGGGAGATGAGGAGGAGAAGGAGGAGGAGGAGGAGCAGGAGGAGGAGGAGGAGGAGGAGGAGAGGCCAGGCCGTCTCCGGCGCGCCTCCGGCCCGCGCGCGCCCTCCCGCCGAGCCGGCCCGCCCGCCCGGACCCCCGCCCTTCCCTTCTCGAGGGGAGGCGGCGGGCCGCGGGGGGCGGACCGAAACCGTCGTCGTCGCGGACCGTCGTCGTCGTCGTCGGCGTCGGCGTCGGCGTCGTCGGCGTCGGCGTCGGCGTCGGCGTCGGCGTCGGCGTCGGCGTCGGCGTCGTCGTCGTCGTCGTCGTCGGCGTCGTCGGCGACGGCGGCGGCGGCGGCGGCGTCGTCGGCGTCGTTGTCGTCGTCGGCGGCGGCGTCGGCGTCGCCCTCGGCCTCGTGGGCGTTCTCGTCGGCGTCGTCGTCCCCGCCCTCCTCGAGGGGAGGCGGCGGGCCGCGGGTCGCGGACCCCCCCATCCAGTACACGTAGATCAGCAGGCGCACGACTGGGGCGGCGAGGGGCCGGCCGGCCGGGCGGCGGGGCCCGGGCGCCCCCTCGGGCCACGGCCGAGAGCGCGGCGGAGGGCTCCGCGCGCGCTCGCCTCCAGCCTCGGGGGCCCCTCGCAGGGGCCGCGGGGCCGTCGCGGAGGGCCGCCAGGGGGGGGGGGGGGGGGGCCAGACGCCCCCGCGGGTCAGGGCAGGAAGCGCAAAGGAGGGCTCCGTGTTCTTTTCCAGCTCGGGGAGCCCTCGCGGGGCCGCGGGGCCGTCCGGAGACGACTCCGGAGGAAGAGCCGGTCCTGCGGGACATCCAGGAACCCGCAGCAGCAACAAAATTTGAAGCTATCCACGATGCTCCTGGGCCCCACAGGCCCTGGCGTCAGGAAGAGAGGGGGTGGAACGTCAGGGGGAGGCCGCGCTCAGGGGGGCGAAAACGTCGAGCCGGGATCGGCGATGTCGATGCGTCATGCATCCTCCCCTGAGCCTGCCCATCCCAACGTTGCCTACCCCCCTGTCTGGCCGGAAGTGATAGCTCTGGCGGCCGCTCCGGTCGAGCCTGGCACCCCCGGAACGCCCTCGGCGAGGCGCAGCCGCTGAAACGCATCCCCGCGGCTTAAAGGCCGCTGAGGACCGACGAGCAATTCCGAAAGTCTCGAACCTCGAACCTGGAATCTCCCCCCCCCCTGCGCCTAAGCCCCCCCTAACTAGAGTAAGAAACAAAAAACGGCATAAACATAAACTGTTGGAGGTCCGCGCGGATTTATTGGATCTGGGCTAGAGACCCCTCCCTGGCGGGCGGAGCGCGCCAGGGGCGGCGCCGGCAGCGCCGCCAGGTGGCTCTTAGCGCGGATCCAAGAGATCCGCGCGGAGCGCCACCAAAAGTTTATATTGAGGGCGTATTCTCTTCTTCGAAAAAGTCTCGAACCTCGGACCTCGAACCTGAAATTTCCCCCCCCCCCTGAGCTGAGGTCGGGCATGTCCTCCAACAGGTGGATTTTGGACGGGAGGTAAAAAGTAGTCGAAAAAAACACCAAAGTAGTAAAAAAACGTCACCAGACTATTTTTCTACTATTTTTGAAGTTTCCTCCTGTAGAGGGACATGCCAGACTGAAGCCTGAGCCCCCCCCCCTAACGCTGCCTCCGAAAAAGCGAGGCCTTTGTCGGGAATCTTCTGACCCGGGTCAATCCAGACCCTGCTCAATCAGGCCTGCAACATCCTGCAAGATCCTGCACCCAAGTCCGGGGTCAATGCGAAGGATCCTGAAGGATCCTGCGCCCAAACGGGTCACTGCGACCCCGGCGCTGCAGGATCCTGCAAGGTCCGGCGCTCTGGCTGACCCCCGTCTGCACCGACCCCCGTCTCGAGGCTCCCGACTTTGGAGGTCCGTCCCCGGCCAGGGGGGGAGGGGGCATCCGAGCACGACGACGGGCGGCCCCGCGGACTCCCGAGGACTGCTCGGGAGGCCCGAGGACTTCCGAGCCTCCTGAGAAGGCCTGCCCCTGCTCGCTTCCCCCCCTGGGCTCGCCGCCAACCAGAGGCAGGGCGCAAGACATCGGGTGTCCGCCCGCCCCCCTGAAGAGGACCGATCGGGCATATCTTCGTACAGGCGGATTTGGGATGGGACAAAAAAAATGAGCAAAACATGCCCCAGACTCAACCAAAAACAATCAACACATCGTTCCTGGCTCATTTGTTTAAAACATGTGCTTGGACATTCCTCTTGTAAAACATGTGTTTGGACATTCCTCCCGTAGAGGGACATGCCCGACTTAAGCCTAAGCCCCCCTTATCACTGCACCGACCTTGCAGACGTGCTGCAGCGGATTTTTTGCATGGATTTCTGTCAATGCAAAACCCCGAAACGGCGAGTGAAAAGCGCAAACAAGATCCGCGCGAACTCCACCTCGAATTCCAGAACGAACTTCTCCAGGACACACCGGGCCCATCCAATCGTTTTCCGAACGAAATCCGCTCTGCGATGTTGCAACCATGACCTCTTCACGCTGCCTCCGAAAAAACAGGACCTTTGTAGGCACGTCCCCAGCCTGGGGGGGGGGGGGCAGCGGAACACGCCCCGAAGGGGCGGTGTGCCCCGCGGGGGCCCCCCCCCCGCCACGGAAACCCACGCCACGTGTGTTTGTTGTTGTTTTTGTTCCTCCTTCTCCTCGCATAACATCACTGCCGCATGAAGTTACTAAATCCTCTGATTTGTCTTCGTCGCCAGGGGAGCTGAAAGCGTGCGAGACATGACACGAGATGCATCTTGCCTGAACGTGTAACCGCGCGTTGTCCTGTACCTGACTTTCCCGGGCGAGAGAAGCAGGAAACTCAACGGTGCTCGAGCGAAGAATGTGCGCAGGACGAGCCTTGATTTATCTTGTTCCCATCCTACTTAAGGACCGCATCCCAAAAATAATTTCGAGCACCCGGAAAAGTGTAAAAAGAGTGTCGAAGCGGTGTCGAAACAGTGTCGGGCGAGTGTCTCCCAGGGCCCGACAGGTGAAACAAACCCTTGAGTTTCGGTACTTTTTTGGGCGCTCGAAATTCTGCCTGCTAAAGGATAGGTTGGAGCATCATAAGCCTTGATCGAGGAAGCCCACGCCACGAGAACTGTGGCGCTGGGTCGGCGGCGAGCGAGGGGAGGACCCAGGACCTCTGGAGCAGGAGGAGAAGGAGGAGGAGGAGGGGGGGAGGAGGGGGGGGAGGAGGAGGAGGAGGAGGAGGAGGAGGAGGAGGAGGAGGAGGAGGAGGAGGAGGAGGAGGAGGAGGAGGAGGAGGAACAGGAACGAATCACGACGGGAGCTGTGTTCACAATCTTCGGCATCTGTGGGCCTCACCAGGCCTCGGAACCCGCAAGAAACGACTCGTGATGAAAAGCTGGTCTCGGGGAATGGGTCGAGACCCCGGGGGGTGGACGTCATGAACAAATCATTACGTCGGGGGTCGGGGATTTTGGCACTGACGAAATGCCATCGCGGCGCCCGGGGGGGAAGTGACAAGGAGAAGGCCGTCTCAGAAGGCGGCGCGGCTTCTCAGAAGCCCTCACGCCTTCTGAGGTGTCTGTCTCCGGGGGAGGCTTAGAGAACTTCTCAGGAGGCCGAGGATTTCCGAACCTTTGCGAAGGCCCGCCCCTTCTCACTTCCCCCCAAGGCTCGCCGCCGACCAGAGGGAGGGCGAGACGTTGTGCTCATGCAGTTGTTCGGCTCTTCGGAAGCAGGCCAGGGCGCTCGAGGGCCTCCTCAGAGCCTTCCGAGGCGAAGCTAACGCACGGCGGGTGCGTGCCCACTTTCTTGGAGGCTTCTTTTAGAGGCCGGGGATGCTTTTAGAGGCCGGGGATGCTCCTCTCTGCATGCCCGCCACAAACCTGTCCTAGCGTGTCCCCAAAGCACATTTTCCGATGTGTCCCCATAGCGTGTCCCCTATGCCTTGAGGCCATCACCTGTGTTCCAGCATTCACTGAGGTTGCTGATCATCTACCCTCTCCTCGTCATACCCCTGGAGACTGGAAACATGTGCGCACTTTGCGTTTCAGCGACTTGAGACAGCTCCATGTCTTAATCTTAACAAAGCGCCCTTCAGTGTAAGGGAAACTGCCCAGGACCAGACCCGGCAAGTGCAGGCCCGCAGCAGTTGCGCCCGCAACATCCCAGCCCAGAACACAGAACACCGAACCAAGGCATGTCGCTGATCGACCTGGCACGGTAGGGGTGGAGGGTTTCTCCGAAGGGCTTGGGCGACCCGTCCTCCTCCTTCTCCTCCTCCTCCCCCTCCTCCTCCTCCTCCTGCTCCTCCTCCTCCTCCTCCTGCTCCTCCTCCTCCTCCTCCTCCCCCTCCTCGCTCTCCCCTCCTCGGGTCGCTTACGGCCCTGGGGGGCTCTTTCAATCCTTGCCATTGTTGGACGTCCATTCCCTGTGCTTCTTGAGCTTTCGTGCGTGTTTCTGTTCGCACGGTAATCGAGGATGCCCCTAGATGCTCCTCGCCGAGACAAGTTGAACACGTGAGCGATGAGGGAGGATGGGAATGGGAGAGGGGTGAGGGAGGGGGAGACACGCGGAGGGCGGGAGGGAAAACGAGGGGATGGGGCGAGAATGGAAGGATGCCGGGAAGGGCGGATGGAGGGAGGAGGACGGACGGGGTGTTGCGGGGCGGCGGCCAGGGCGAGCATTTGCAACCCAGTGGTTTCCGTTGTCCGTTGTTGCCGGCCCTCTCGGGCCCCCTGGGCAACACATTTACCTCCCCAAGCGAAGGACGAAGGGATGGAAGAGGATGGGGAACCAGGGAAAGGTCTGGGCAATACATTTACCTCCCCAAGCGAAGGACGAATGGATGGAAGAGGAGGGGGAGCCAGGGAAAGGTGAGGGGGAGGGAGGGGGGCAGGGAAGGGATGGGGGAGTGTGGGATGGAAGAGACAGGACCGAAAAAGAAAAGTCCGAGAAGATCACGGTGAAGCACAGGGGCCAGTAGCACACATTGGCTACGCATCTGGGGCATAATGCTCGTCCTTCTCATCAGACGCTCAACATCACAATCGGCAAGCACAGTGTCGTCGTCCCCGCGCGGCTTGCAGTGGGAAGCAGGTGTCACACAACGACGCTTAGACCCTTGTTTCAACATGTAACTACCATGTTACTGCAAGGTGTGGGCTGATGCCATAAGGCGGTCCAGAGCTGCTCGATCCTCTAACTCGTGCTGGAGTCGAAGGCCAGTGGGAACGACAGGTCCCGGGGACATATTGCGAGGAGGCAGGAGGATGGGCGGCAGAGGGATGGGGGAGGGAGAGAGGGAGAGAGGGGGGGCGGCAGCCTGGATGCGCTCGCGCCACGTCTGACATTCGATCCCTCCCTCACGTTCTTCAGCGCTGATCTTTTTACCAGTTTGAAACATATCCCTATCCCTATGTTTGACATCACCTCACCTCGATGCCGATCTTAAGGATTCCCTCAGTTCATGAGGGCCTATCCCTAAGATTGTCCTCGTTTTTTGCTCGCCCATCTTAGGGATAGGGATACGTTCGAGGCTGGTTATCTGTTCAGAAAAGATCAGCAGATGGAGAAAAGGTTTCCCCATCCGCTAACGGGTGACACAACGGACGTGGACCCCCCCCCAGAGGGCGCTATTAGAGGAAGAAACGACGGTCCGCGTGAATCCCCTCCCCAGCGCGAGAAACGCGCCACTGGCGGCGCCGGAGGCGCCGATCCGAGACATCCGCGCAGAGCTCTGAACGTGTATGTTTGTTCAGCTTCTTCTTCGAGTTATGCGCATTTAGAGAATGGGAGCTGTGTGTGTAGGAGGAGGAGGAAGAGGAGGAGGTGGCGGGGGGGAGGGGGATGGAGGCGGGGACGGTGGGACGCGGGAAGTGCCTGCCATGAGGAACCACACGATCACGGTCATGAAGATCTGCCGGCATGCGGGTCTGGTCCCTATCCTTCCCCCGATGGTCCCCCTTCCCTTTGCCCCCATCCGCCGTCCCCCTCCTCCTCCACCTCCTTCTGATATTTCCCCTCTTCCTTCCTCCTCCCCCTATTCCTCCTACTCATCATCCCTCATCCCCAACTTCTGCTCCGTTCACTGTGCTCGTCGTCCCCCCGCTCATCCCGTCTTCCAACCTCCTACTCTTCAATCATTTGCCCCTATCCACCATCCTCGGTCTTCTCGTCCTGACCTTCCCATCCCGCCTGCTGCTGCTGCTGCTGCTCCTCCTCCTCCTTCTCCTCCTCCTGCTCGTCTCTCTCCGCCTCCTCCTCTCTTTCTCTCCTCGTGCACCTGCCATGACTCCTGTCTGGTCCTTCCTCCTGTACGTCTGTCTGTGTATATATATGTGTATGTGCACAAGACTTGAAGCTCGCTGCGCTTCGCTTTAAAGTCTTGGTGTAGTACATGGCTGGGAAGATGCCATGACCGAAAGGCGGCCCTCGGGCTGGACCCAACACCGTGTATAGGGCTAGGGAGATGGAGGGCAATCGCGCAACACGACGCCAAGTGGACGACGAGAGCGCGCGCGCGCCCGGACGCGCGAGAGGTTTGGCCAAATGGTGTAGGCAAGTACGTGTAGACAAACACCTGAGTCCGTTGCTGACGATCTTGGAGCACTGGCGACGACGGGCAAACACACACACACACACCGGTGAAGGTGGAGCCACGGTTACGACAGCGCACGGTTTTTCGACGCTCGCGTAAACTTATCGAATGGTTGGGCCGTGTGGCAAGTCTCGTAATTTGCACAGTCGTACGCGTGTGTATATGTACGGCATGAGTAATAACATTATATAGTAACACGAAAAATGCAACATGCCATAAAACAATGTTTTACACCCTGGCGAACGGCGTGACCCCAGGGGGAAGGGCGAGGAACCGGTCACGTCAAGATTCGTGCGGGCGCCGTCTTGGAATGGTTAGGCGAGTGCTCGTTTGCAAGAGGCGCCGGCGCGAATCGTGACGTGACCACGGGTCGGAAGCGGATGGGACGGGTCCAAACATGGGCGCTACCGCGAATAATAAAAACTCGGTTCCTGCAGCCATCGCGCGCGTGCGCTGCGGGCGCTCACGTCTCAGTTTTGGAAGTTTCGTGCGCGTCGTCGGCCTACAGCCCCGACCTGGGCCCAGCTATAGAAGGAACGGCCCGAACATCAGAGCTCCTCCCGAACCCGAAGCGGTCCTGATTTCAGCGTCATGATCGCACGTATTCCCGCACTGTTCGGCTACGCGCAAGAATGACCTTGGGTAAAGATGACGTTTGATGCGCGGTTTCTTGGGGGACGCGGGGGGACCAAACACAAGCGCGCAAGACGCCACAATCGTATCGCGTTCGGCGATCGGGGGGGCCCAATGGACCCGTACCAAAACTCACGGCGGCGAAGGGTCACTGCCCCTCCTCGGCCGCCCTTCCTCGTACCGCCCCGGCCTTCTCTCCCTCGTCCTCGTCCTCGTCCTCCTTGCTATCGTTTCTCTTATCTCCTCTTTACCTCATCCTCATCCTCCTCCTCGTCCTTATCCTCCCTCCCCCCCCTCCTGGAATCGCCCCGTCTAGTCGAACTGCCCCTTCTCGGCCGACGGGAGGGGTGGGCGCCGCCCCACCTCGTGCCTGCTGAACGGAAGCACGAGCAGCCGCACGCCGAGGACCTGACCGCCGCGAGGGCAAGGTCGGGGGGGGCACCGAAGGCCCCCCTACGACCTTCCCCCAGGGAGGCGGCGCGCCCACGGCCGAGGAGAGCTCGACCGAGATCCGATGCACTACGAAGGGAAGGGGGGCAACCACGCTGGGAGAACGGGTTCCTCCTGACGTCGCGCGGACTTGATGCAGCAGTATGGAGTATTACTGCGATGGAAAACGTGCAAATTGCCGACTTAGGCGAAGTGCGAACGAATTAGGCCTGGTGGGCGCAGCATGAAAAGGAACGGCAAATAGACGCGAAAAGACCGGGTTCCTCCTCGAAGTCCCCCCCGTGCGCGGGTCTTCCCTCGCCTGGCCCGGGCGGCGGGGGGGGACATGCAAGAGGAGGAGGAACGGGAAGGAGGGGGAGGGCTGCGGGGGCGGAGGGTGCCGGGAAAGGAGAGAGGAGCGGCGAGGTGGAGGAACAGGAGGAGGAGGGTGAACGGGGAAAGGGCGAGGGAGGACGTAAAAGGTTTCCCGGTTGTCTTTCGAGGGATGAAAGGAGACAGGGGGGGAGAGGACAATCAGGAAGGGGTGGAGGGTCCCCGTGCTATTTTCTGAAGGAGGCGGAATTCGAGGGATGGGGTGTGGGTAACGGGATGGGGCAGGAAAGTGTGGCAAGCACGCCGACGGCCTCCTGTTCCTCCAACGACTCAAATAGCCAACCCAACTCCAGGGAGCAGTCAATCATCTCCAAGAATCACCTATCATCTTCGTGTGAGCATCATCATCCCCCCTCCCCGCCCGCCCGCCCGCCCGCTCGCACAAACACGCAGACACACACGCAGACGCATATACACATACGCAGACACACGCATACACACATAAATGCACGCACGCTCGCGCGCACGCACACACACACACAAACACCCACAAACACACGCACATACACACACGCACATACAGACGCGCACGCACTCACGTACTCACGCACGCGCGCGCTCACGCAGACACGAGCACACTCGCGCACACACACACACACACACGCACACACACAAACAAGCACGAACACAAGCACAAACACACACACACAAAGCGTACTAGCACCAACAGAAACAACCACAACAACAACACCAACAACACCAACAACAATATCAACACCAACACCAACAACACCAACAACACCAACAACACCAACCACACCAACAACACCAACAACAACGTCAACACCGACGACAAAACACCAACAACAACAATCAATGTGAGAGTGTTCGCTCTTATTTGCTGAAGTGCCCGTCGAAGTGAATTTCCCAAACCCTCGATACCCGCCCTGTTCGTCTTCGATCGTGCCCCTTTGGGGGGATATACCTTTCTTCCCTGCAGGCCGGGCCCTGGCACGCGGCGGGGTGGCCGCGGACCGTCGGCCTGGCCAGCGGCAGCGCTGATCGGCGGCAACTCGACCCCAAGAGGGACGGACAGGGGACCGACCACGACGACGGCGACGGCGACGACGACGTCGACGACGGTGACAACGACGAGCGAAAGCGAGAGCGAGAAAGAAAACGGCAGCAGGACCACAAAGGGTACGAAGGAGGCCAGGAAAGGCGACAGCGGGGAAACGAGGGGAATGCGTATGTGGCCACGCAGATCGCGAACGAGCGTGGCCAAGAAGGGCAGATAATGCGGGGCCACGGAAGGCAACGACGGGGCTACTGAGGGGAGCAACTGGGCAACGTGGGACAGCGAGTGGGCCACAAAGGGCGGCAGCGGGGCCACGAAGGGCATGCACATGGGACCACGACGGGCGCGAACGAGCGGGGGCCACGAAGGGCCTAGGGCATAGGTATATTGGGCCGCGGAAGGCAAAGACGGGGCCACTGACGGGAGCAACGGGGCCGCGAAGGGCAGCGAGGGGGCCACGAAGGGCGGTAGCGGGACCACGAAGGGCATGCACATGGGGCCACGACGGGCGCGAACGAGCGGGGGCCTCGAAGGGTATACATATCTGGGGCCACGAAGGGCAGCGAGGGGGCCACGAAGGGCTGCAACGGGGCCATGAAACAAAGAGGGGGGGCCACGAAGGGCTGCAACGGGGCCACGAAAACCATGCATATGGGGCCACGACGGGCTGCAACGGGGCCACGAAACAAAGCGAAGGGGCGACGAAGGGCTGCAACGGGGCCACCAAGGGCAGCGAGGGGGCCACGAAGGGCTGCAACGGGGCCACGAAACAAAGCGAGGGGGCAACGAAAAATTACAACGGGGCCACGAAGGAAAACGAGGGGCCACGAAGGGCTGCAACGGGGCCGCCAAGCGCAGCGAGGAAGCCACGAAGGGCTGCAACGGGTCCACGAAGGGCAGCGAGGGGGCCACGAGGGGCTTCAACGGGGCCACGACGGGCAGCGAGTTCCCGAGTCCTATGTCGGGGGTGCGGCGCTTGAGTAAGTTGCGGGGAATTCCAACGCAAGAGCGTCAATATTGAGTAAATTGCAAGCGAGCTTCCAGCGAGAGCGCGACTCCAGAGCGCCGAGAAACGATTCCTGGAAAACATGTAAGGAGGTCCCGAGCGAGAGTTCGACTCCTGAAAGCAATGCGAAGGAATCTCGGGCGGGAGCGGGGGTCCTGGTTAAATTGTGAAGAGCGCTGCGGCGGGAATCGTTGCTGTTGTAACCCGGGGGCCAACAAAGGAGCATGAGGAGGAAACTTATCCCTGATAAAGCACAAGGGTGCTAGCGCCGGGAGGGGCATTTCAATTGGAAAAATACAATGTGCACCGGAGGGGGGAGATCAACAATAATCATTCTTCAGTATCGTTAACAACAACAAAAACAAAATCAACAACGACAACGACAACGACTACGACGACAACGACAACGACAACAACAACAGCATCAGCAAGAAAAACAACAACGAGCACCCAACACAAACAGACACACACACACACAGACACACACACACACACATTCATTTGTACACATGAGCACACTTACGCACTTCTTGGCGTCGCGGTCACGCGCGCGGCGGCTGGCGGAATCAGGGCGGTCTAAAGGCAGCGCGCACGGGCCAGGCCAGCCCACTCCGCGGGGAGATTCCGGGGTGTACCTACACAACGGCACCCACAGGTGCACGTTCCTTTTTTTGTCCTCCGGCGAAAACGGTACCGTCGCGAATGCTTGAGCGGGACGCGAACAACCACGTTGAATACCGCCCACGTTGTGGATGGAGAACGCGCAGGGGCCCGCAAACCGGGGTGCGCGTGACGACGTTGCACCCCGCGCTGTGGATGAAGGACAAGCGGTGGACCGGCGTGCCAGCGTGCAGAATCCAGGTGTGAGAACCCCCGCGTGCACACACAAACACACATCATCCATGTTGCTTCCCCCTTCCCCCTCCGACTCCTCCGTCCCCTTTCCTCATCCGCCAAAACGCCCCCCCGAAGGGCGAAACCAACCCATCTGCGGGGCCAAACCGAACCCCCTTCCGAGGGGCTAAAACAACCCCCCAAAGGGGGCTAAAGAAACCCTCCCTTCCTCTGTTGAGGACGGAGAAAACGACAGCACGGTCGACATGTTTGTGTTTACGAGTGGATCTGACGGGGTTGCAAGAATGTTTGGGGGCTCCTGAGGGGTTCTGAAGTACAAGGGGCGGTCGGGGGGAAAAACAGGGACTAAACGGGCTAAGTGCAACAAACAACACGCGCAACAACAACATGCGAGTCGCGAGGAGAGGAAGCGGGCCTCATGATGGTGCTCACAACCACTTACACGCCTGAGGGCCTCCTCGACAAAACTCGGCGGAGCCTCTATCCTCAGTCGTGGTCATCGATGCTCGCACCCGCGGCGGCAGCGGCAAGGCAGGAGGAGCAGGAAGGGAAGAACAGGGATCAGAGAGGCAACCCTCCCAAACCTTGGCCCCCTCCAGACCTCCACCCTCCACCCCGCGTTCCAACGCGGCGCCGCCCGGCTCCCCCACAAGGTCCGCATCGCCCTCTGCGCCGCAGAACGCCTCCCGGAGCCCGGGGCCGTGAGCGAGCGACCTCCCGCCCGTGGCGCGACAAGGAAAGGAGCAGAGAATTACTCCGACGGAAAACCACATTCAAATCCTTTCGGACCATCTGGAAATATCCTTCATTGTCGTCCTCGCGACTAGGCAGGCGCCCTTCTTCTCTTCTTTGCGTCATTCTCATTCTCGCCCTGGCGCAGGGCCCTGACCCACTCCCCGCGTTGCCTTTGCCTCGCCCTCCTGCTGTTTGTTTCGTCATCCACCACCTCTTCGCCTGTCTATTGCAAAAGCGCGCGTCGATTTTCGTCGACGCCGTCGCCGCCTCGGCTGGCGCGGGCGCATTCTCGAATGGCCGGGTCGCGCGGCCGCGGGGACATCCCCACGGGCCAGGCTGTTGGGGCAACCGCGCGAGCCGCGGGGGCGCGGGAGCAAGCCGTTTGGACAACCCCGCAGGCACCGAACTAGGTTCGGTCGCGCTCAGGCGGGAGACAGCACGAAGCCAAACTCTGCGACGAGCCCGATTCGGCCAAGGATGGATTACCACCCCCGGCCCGGACGCAAAGGTTCCCTCTCTGCGCCCGATTCGGCTGACGATGGGTTACCACCGCCAGCCCGGAAACAAGGGTTTCCACCTGCCCCCGACTCGGCTTACGATGGGTTACCACCGCCAGCCCAGAGACGAGAGTTTCCCCCTGCCCCCGCTTCAGCAGAGGATTGGTTACCACCCCCTGCCCAGACGCAAGGGTTCCCCCCTGCGCCTGGCCGCCGTCGTCGTCCTCACCTTCTATTACTCCTCTTCCTCCTCACCTCATGGGTCGGGCGAATCGCCCTCTGAAGAGCGCGCAGGGCGGGGGCTCCCGCCTGACACTTCCTCACAGTTCACTCACAGACGAGGCTCCCCGCCGGATACTTCCTCCATATTCAAGCCTCGGGAGCCTCAAGGCGACGACAGTTAAAAGGATGAGGATGACCCGCTCGGATTAAAATTATAAGGTGCGGGCCCCACAGGGAGGGGGCTCCCGCTTAAAACTTCCTCGCAATTCTCTCACACACGAGGCTCCCCGCATGATACTTCCCCCATGTTCAAGAACCAGGAGCCCCAAAGTGACGACAGTCACAGAGTTGAGGATGACCCGCCCGGATTAAAAATATAAAGTGCGGGCCCCATAGGGAGGGGGCTCCCGCCTGAGACTTCCTCACAGTTCACTCACAGACGAGGCTCCCCGCCGGATACTTCCTCCATACTCAGGCGTCGGGAGCCCCAAAATGATGACAGTCAGATGGTTGAGGATGGCCCGCTCGGATTAAAAACATAAAGTGCGGGCCCCATAGGGTGGGGGCTCCCGCCTGAGACTTTCTCTCAGTTCACTCACAGACGAGGCTCCCCGCGTAACACTTCCTCCAAAGTCATGCCTCGGGAGCCCCAAACGTGACGACAGTTACAGGGTTGAGGATGACCCGCTCGGATTTAAAAACAGAAAGTGCGGGCCCCATAGGGAGGGGGCTCCCGCCTGAGACTTCCTCACAGTTCACTCACACACGAGGCTCCCCGCCTGATACTTCCTCCATACTCAGGCCTCGGGAGCCCCAGACGTGACGACAGTTGCAAGGATGAGGATGACCAGCTCGGATCAACAACATAAAATGCGGGCCCCATGAAGGAGAGGGCTCCCGCCAGAGACTTACTTTCAATTCTCTCACAGACGAGGCGTCCGCCTGATACTTCCCCCATATTCAAGCTAGCGTATGAGTAGGTGAGTGAGTGAGTGAATGAATGACTGGATGAGAGATGATGATGCTGAGGATGATGCAGATGATGCGTGACTGGGTGAGTGAGTGTGTGATCGAGTGATGGTCAAGATGATCAAGATGGTCTGTGTGTGAGTGAATGTGAGTGTGAGTGGGTGTGTGTTCCTGTGTGGTCCTGCGCGGGGTGTCCAGAGAAAACAAGAGCCCCACTGTGGATGTGGGGAAAAAACAAATGCACGGCCATGTTCTTGTCCCGTCGGCGGCGAGGCAGAGGCAGTCCGCTCCAGCGCGTGGCTATTCGGGGCGGCCGACATGCGAATTGGCTGGCGTGCAAGGAAACGAAACAAATGCACAGACATGAACCTTCGGAGCTTCGCGGGAAGCCCTGGACCGGCGCTGGGACACCCCCCCCTGGCGCGCGGAGCGAGCCCGGGGGTGGCCCTGGGAGCGCCGCCACCGGGGCCCCACCGCCGAGCCGAGAAATCTGCGCGGAGCTCCGACAGAGGACGTTGTTGCACAGTTGGAACCCATGCCAGGAAACACCCTGCTTGCCTCCAGGTTGCCCTGGGTTTCTTGGGGTTTGATGGTTTTTTGCTATGGAAAGTGTGATGCTCCTACACCAAAAATCAATGCACACCCTGGGGTCGCAGGGTTGGGTCTGGTGTGGAAGGGTTCTTGTGGCGAGGGCGATAATGCTGGCATGATGAGAGTGGCTTTCGATCAGTTCCAGGATTTCGAGCGCATCTGGCGGCGCAGCAGGTGCGAAATATCAGGAGCTATTTTGGGAATCCTGAGCAAGCCTTGGGAATCTTGGAACGTACGCGGCGCCCCGCCGTTGCGGAAGATAGTGAGGGAGCGGGCGCGGGGTGGGTCGCAGGCGGGTCACGGGCGGGCCGCGGGCGGGTCGCAAGTGGGTCACGGGTGGGTCGCGGGTGGGTCGCGGGTGGGTCGCGGACGGGTCGCGGGCCGGGTCGCGGGTGGGACGACGATAACTGCAGCAACAACAGCGACAGTAACAGCCACCACAACACCACCACCAACCACCAACCAACAAAAACAGCAACAACAACAACAACAACAAAAACCAGTCAACAAACCACAACCACAATCACAACAATAACAACTACCACAACAACTACTACGATCACCAACAACGACCACCACCGCCACCAACAACAATAACAACGGCAACATAAACAACTACAACAACAACAACACTAGCAGCAACAGCAACAACTACAACTACAACAACAACAACAGCATCAACAATAATTTTAAGACTGTACGCGTGACATCAACACCTACAATCACAACGACATCTACAACTACAACTATAACTGCAACTACAACACAATCAACAAACACATCAACAACAACCAACAACAACAACAACGGCAACAACGGAAACACTAACGACAGCAGCACACAACGATAACAACAACTGCAGCTACCAAAGACAACAACACCAGCAACACCAACAACAACAACAACACCTGCACCACCAACACCATCATCAACAACCACAACCACAACCACAACCACATCCACAACCACAAAAACCGACAACCGACAACCATCAACCAACAACGCAACAACAACTTCCGCCGCGGAACCCCACTTCTGCCGCGCACCCAAAGACAGCGAAATACAGTTCGGCACCTCACCCTGATCAATATCATTGACGGGCCCAGGGGCACGCAAAAAGATACACACAAATCCCGGGAACCCCCATATGTTTCCCATATTTTCTGGGTTCCCGTCTTCCCCCCCCCGCTTCCCACAGTTTCCCGATGTTTTCTTGGAAACCGGCCTTGAATGGTGTCTGTGTTGTTTCCCTCCTGAACCAAGACCCAAGAACGGCGAAAGGCAGTGCGGCCCCCCACCCTGATCATCTCATCATCGAGGGGGGCCCAGGGTTTCCCATATTTTCTTGAAACTCGACACATACAGTCGGGGAGTTGACCGAAGGAACGATAAGGAACGAGGCCCCTTTTTTCCCATACATTAAACTCCGATGTTCCATGGGAAACCTGAGGAAAACCCAATGAGCACTGTAAAGCAACTAAGGAACACGGAGCCCCTCCCCAACAAAAAGGGTTCCTTCTTCAGGGCCCCGACTGTAATTTTGTCTGTGTTTTTTCCCCTCCCGAGCCATGACCCCTCGCTCCTCGGACTCGCTGTCGAGCAGAGGCGGGCGGCGTCGGCGCCGAAGGGCCCAAGACGGGTGGGGGGGGGGGGGGCAGCGCCTGCCTGGCCACCCCCTCCTCCTCCCCCTCCTCCTCCTCCTCCTCCTCCTCCTCCCCCCCTCCTCCTCCTCCCCCCCTCCTCCTCCTCCCCCTCTTCCTCCTCCTCCTCCTCCTCCTCCTCCCCCTCCTCCTCCTCCTCCTCCTACTCCTCCAACGAGCAGTGGGTGCCACCTCCTCGGCGGCCAGCCTGCCGCCGCCTCGACGCAGTGTCGCCTGCCTTCGCGGACACAAGGCGAACTCAGCCACGCTGCGTGGGCACTCACGTCCAAAGGGCTAGCCCGAGGCGCCCGAGAAACCTTGGACGAGCTGACCAACCCACAACTACGGCCAGCACATCCAGAGGCCCCCTTTCCAATTGTTTCTCTACGTATTCGCGCCTGTCCAGCACATTGAATGAGACAGAGAAGTCGTCGCTGCATGACAACGGCAAACGAGGCGAGGGTTCAGCGGAGTGAGTTCGGAAGCACAAGACGAAGGCAGGACGAGCACAGAAGAAAGAGAATAAGACTCCGCCTGCCCGCATGCGTGCGAGATATCCCTGCTTCTCACGATCGACGAACGCGTGCGCCGAGGTCATGAGGACAGAGCCGGGCGGGGATAGATCGAAAAATCGCTGAGGCTCAGCGGGTCTGGATAATGCCTCCGGCGCAGCGGCAGTTCCAGAGCGCTCGGGCCGCTCAGGAGCGATGTATCATCGTCCTCGGCGTGCCTGATCACAGTATCCCCTGCGTCCCAGTAGGGCGGGAAGGCCGATTGCCCTGGCCACCTGCCTTCCCGCGCCGTGGCCCTCGATGCGATCTCTTCGCGCCCGCGCGAGGCCGCCCTGCGGGGGCGCCTCTGTGGCTCGAGCTGCGAGATGCGACGCGGGGCCATGTGCGCGCCCCTGCGGGTGACCCAGACTACCTCTTCGAGCCCCTGAGGCCCCACTGCAGAGGGTCGGAGGAGGAGGAGGAGGCGGAGGGGGAGGGGGAGGAGGAGGAGGAGGAGCGAGGAGGAGGAGGAGGAGGAGGAGGAGGAGGAGGACCCACTGCGGAGGCTTCCCACATGAGCTCCAAATACAGTTGTGGGGTCGGGAGGTTGCGCCGCACCGACGATGCATCGCCGATGCATCGGCGGTGCATCGGCGACGGTGGTGGTGCATCGGTGATAGTGGCGTGGAGACAATCGGGCTCCACATCGAGCCGCGTCGCCGATGCATCGGCGATGCGGCGAGACCGTCCGACTCCATCTACTCTGATTCCATCTCGGAGGCCTAGATCGTGGGGACAAACAATCGGCCTCGGACCGCTGCGCGGCGCCGATTTGACCTTTACCGTGATCCCCTGTATCCCCTACAACTCCCAATGCAATACAGAGTCTTCCTCATCGGACGCTGCAGAAGGGCTGCCAGGCCTCAGGAGCGCACGAGGCGTTGGAGCCGTAGCAAGCCCAATCCAATCCCTCCCCCACCTCCCCCTATCCCTCCTCCCCCTTCCCCTGTGCTGTCGGATAACCGCTAACCATTGTGAGTCGAAGATTCAGCAAAGATCCTCTCCGGAGACTGCCTCAAACTGTTCACCACACGGATTACCTCCGCCTCCCCTCCCGCCACTTTGCACCGCCTCCTGCTCCTCCTCATCATCCTCCTTCTCCTCCCCCTCCTCCTCCTCCTCCTCCTCGTCCTCGTCCTCGTCCTCGTTCTCGTCCTCCTCCCCCAACCCTCCTCCGCCTCCACGTCTTCTTCCCCTCCCCCTCCCCATCCTACGCCTCCTCCTCCCCTCCCCCTCCTACTCCGCCTCCCCCATCCCCCTCCCCTTCCCGCACATCTACTCCGCCTCCCTCCCTCTTCCTCCTCCTCCTCCTCCTCCTCCTCCTCCGCCTCCCTCCCTCTCCCTCCTCCTCCTCCTCCTCCTCCTCCTGCTCCTCGCCCGACGACAATAAGGCGACGTCGACGGCGAAGGCGACGGCGGCGGCGGCGACGACGAGACGCGCCCCGCTGGGAGGCAGACCGCCAGCGGCAGGACCGGCCCCAGGGTGGCAAAGAGCCAGTTGAACACCGACCTGCGGCCCCCACTCTGGGCGGGCAGGCGCGCGGGGAGCACCCGGGGCCCCGGGCGCCGCGAAGGCAGCGGAAGAACATGGCGCCGCCGGCGCGTCAGGGGAAATATCATGATCTGTTCAGAAGTAGATTGCACAGCTGTGTTCTGGAGCTCCGAGCTCTTTACGTTCGTCGTGCTTCGCTCTTCGTCCCCTCCCGACTTCCCCAGGGCATGGCCTCGGCCTCGGCCTCCCTCGAGCCAAGGCCGACCGTCCCGGCAGTCCTGTGGGCCTACCACGACATGCTCTTAGAACCCAGACATGCCCGAAGAACAAACACAGTGCTCCTGGAACGTAAGCCCGAGGTGTCAAAACAGGACAGTCTCAGCCATAAACGTTCTAAGAACATTACACGTCGGTCGGCAGAAGTAAGCAGAAACATGAAGTAGGAAGGCGGATATAGTAGATTGGGTCCAGGTCCTCCCAGAGAAGACCAAAACAGCAAAAGCATGGCGACTCTTGAAGTCGGAAGGCGCTTGAAGTATATTGGGCTCTGGGGATCCAAAAATACCTACTTCCAACGACCGGCGCGTGTTCGGTGGGCCTACGGGCGAGCAGGACGCGCCACCACTGCTAGACTTATGTCGGGCCTGCCCCCCTACAGGGGGATTTTCGACGAAAGATAAAACATACCCCCAAAATAATCCAACAACGTTCCAAACATAGTCCAGGGACTATGTTTGAGTATGGCTTGACCTTTCTGGGATACCTTTGGGTGTATTTTCCATGTTTCGTCGAAACCCCCCCCTGTAGGGGGGCGCGCCGCCACTGCTTGACTCCAGGGCCTCCTCCTGCCCCCCGCGGGCCCCGGCTTCCCCCGGGGGGCGCTGCGCCGCTCCCGCCGGCCTCCCCCTCTTCGCCCCCCCCCCCTAGGGCAGCGCCCCCGGGCCGCGGCCTGCGCAGCCGCGTCCCGGAGCTCGGGGCCCCTGCCTCCTCTTTGGAGTCCCGAAACGGTGCGGTGACAGACCGTGCGGTGACCTCGAAATCCCCCAAGACCTCACCGCACGGTCCGTCACCGCACGGTCTTGGGACCCCGGCGGCCTCTGCCGCCCGAGACATCCTCGGAGAACGACCCGAGCCCCAAAACCGTGCGGTGACCCCGAATCCCCACCGACTCACCGCACGGTGTGGTCACCGCCCCGTTTGGGGGCCCCCGATCCTCCCGGTGGCCCCGACTGGGCCCCGGAGAGCACGAGGGTGGCCAAGAACTGGCCATCGCTCGGAGGTCCATTCCCTGTGTTTTTGTTTCGGTTTTGTGCGTGGCTTTTCCGCCAAATGATCAGGGATGCTCCTCGATGGCCCTCGCCGAAGGAAAAATGCACACGTCCGAGCGATGCCAAGAGAACCCCACCCCCCCACTCCTCACCCCGCCTCGCGTGGCTCTCTCCCTCCCTCGTGCAGGGGCCAGGGCACGCGTGCCGCTCGTTGTTTTCCTGGTAGCTATCGTAAAGGGGGGAGGAAATTGGGGCCCAGGGCAGTGGCAGAGGAAGGTCTGGCACGTCCCCCCTGCAGGCGGATTTTGGACGAAAAGCCAAGCATAGTCAAACAAAAATAACCATCAATTGCCAAACAATAGTGGACAACATCGTCCCCAGACAATCCTCCTGTAGAGGGACAAGCCCGACTTAATGATAGAGCTTGGGCGGGGTGGGGCACGTCGGGGCATGTTGGTGAGGGGGGGGGTCCAAGGCCTGGGGACCTTTGGCAACTACCGCTGAGCGCCAGGGGATCCGACGCAAGCGAAAAAATCAGAGGCCAACATCCGAGGGCGAGGCGGGGCGGACCCTTCTGGGGAGGCACAGGGGTGGGGGGGGGGCTCATTTTTTGGACGACCAGCGAAACAATAGCCGAAACATCTTCACACAAGTAACAAATCGTCCCTGAACAAAACGACTACTTTTGAATACTCCCCCTGTAGAGGACATGCCCGACTTAAGCTCATGTCGGGCGTGTCCCCCTACAGCGGGATTTTCGACGAAAAAACAAAAATACCCCAATCATAATCCACAAATAATCCAAAAATCGTATGGGGGCTATTTGGGGGTTTTGTTGTTTTTGACCTTTTTGGGGTATTTTGGGGGTATCTCTTATTTTTCGTCGAAAATCCCCCTGTAGGGGTACATGCCGACCTAAAACAAAAATTGAAGAATCCTCCTGCAGAGGGACAGGCCCAACTTCAAGGCTTGTGGACGCCCCCCCCCCATGTCCTCGTGCAGGGAGCGCCGCCTTCGCGCCGCCCCTCGCTCCCTCGAGCGCCTCCGAAGGGGCCCTGGGACACCACACAGATACATAGACACAACTCCGAAGACTCCCTTCTTTGAGCAGCGACCGACCGTCCCGGCATTACAATAGTCCTACAACGAAATGTTCTTAGAAACCAAGAATTTTTTAAGAGCAAAGACAATGTTCTTAAAACATGAACCCGATGTGTTTCACCAAAACAGTCCCAACCAGAAGTGTTCTAAGAACATTTCGTGGAAACCACTAAAGGTTCTTAGAACATTGTTTCGTAGGGCTATAGGCGAGCCAGGACGCTTCGCCACTGCTTGACTTCTATCGTTCAACATTCCCTGCCACTGCCCAAACTTTCCAGTCTTTTTCCTGGGCATCGTCGAGTCAGTGTGTCTCTGTGTGTGTGTGTGTCCCCCTACAGGCGGATTCGGGAGGAAAAATAAAACAAAACCAGACTCTAGGGGCCCAAGAACACGCAAATAAACACACACAAATAAAAGTATGGCCCATATTTTCCTAGATTGTCTGGGTTTCTGTCTTCCCGTCCACTTCCCATATTTTCCTATATTTTCTAGGGGATCGACGATTAATTGTGTCTGTGTGTGTGTTTTTTTTTCCTCCTGACAGACGCTATTCACTATCCAAAAATAGTCCAAACATAATCCAAACATCGTCCCCAGACTCTGGCCGACCGCTGGCCGATCACCCAGCGCGACTCTTCAACTCATGTGCTCGTGTAGCCTCGCACCCGCAACCCCAGGTCACCACAGCCGTGCCCCTGCCCCGATGCGCTCTGGATAGCACCAGTGCCCACCAGCCTACCGTCTGGGAAACCCCGAGTGGCAGGATGGGGTGAGGCACCAGGCGCCACGCCCCAGCACTTCGGGGATGGACAAACCCCCCTTTAGCAAAACGTGGTGTAGGGAAAACGACCTGAGGCCCAAACCTGGCGGGCGCAAGCACGGAAAATGACGGCCACGGCGCCCTCTCGAAAACCGAAAACGGACAGTTCACTACTCGACGTGTCACTGTTGGGGGTTCTGTCCGGCCCCGAACACTACTGAGGAAAGAGGGCGCGCCGGCTGGGGTCTCTCGACCGGCTTCAGGCGCACGGGGACAAACATTGGCGGCCGACATAGACACGGACGACGACAAGACGCGGGCTCTTACGCGGGAGGATACAGCGACCTCGCGCGACAGTGGAGCCGAAGGGGCCTCCGCGCGACCCAACGCGAGAAGCCTACGCGCCGGCGTCGGCGCAGTGGAACCCGTTCTCCTTGCGTCGCTCGCGTGGCAATCGGGTCTGCTGGCTCGGCTCCCCGGCCAGGGCCTTCGTCCCTGGGCTTTGCCTCCCCGATCGGGAGCGGCCAAGAGGGGGGCGTCCCAGAGGGGGGGGTGCAAATCATGACCGGCGGCATGTGCGCGGCCCAGCGGGGGGGCCAGGGACGCAATGAAATCAGAAGAGGCGCCATGAGATCTGGGGAAATCTCATGGCCCACGCCATGGTATCCACCCCCCCCTAGGACCTAGTCATCACCCCCCTCTTTTCCGCCCCCGAGCATGGCGATCGGGTCGGCTGGCTCGGCTCCCCGGCCAAGGCCTTCGTCTCTGGGCCGTGCCTCCCCGAGAGGGCACGATCGACCCGTGGAGGCCGGGCGCGCTCCGCCGGACCCGAGCCCCCCTGCCGCGGACGAGCCCGGCGGCGGGTTCGGCACCCTGTCGGGCGTTGCTAGAAGTATCCCTGGCCCGAGGTAGCCCCAGGATGCTCGGGGTGGCCCAGACGGCCTCCAGGGCACCCCTCACGAGGCCCCGAGGGCCCCAGGGGCTCCAAAATGGAGCGTAAAGCTGGGGGTGCCTTGGGCCAGGGGCCCTTCTAGCAACACCCGACCTGTCTCAATTGCTCGGGGATCCCCTTACGCGGGTCAATCCATACCTGGGTCCATAAGGCCTTGCAAGCTGCAACATCCCGCAGAATCCTGCAGGGTCCTGCGCCCCAACCCGGGTCAATGCGAACTTGGCCCTGCAGGATCCTGCAAGAGCCGGCGCTCTGGCTGACCCCCGCTTGCATTGACCGCGTCTCTTGAACCCCGAAATGCTGGTGTTTTGAATCTTCCGGGGTCATCCCCTGCGCGATGGGCGCTGGGCAGACCAAGCACTTTGGCACTGGCCGCCGCCAGCCGGGACCGTGCTCGCGTGCGATCCTCGGGCGGCACTGGTCAAAGTGCGGGGTGGCAGTCGCGAAGAGCGGTGGTCGGCAAGAGTGGAGCTGAGCGCTTCGGCGGCGTCTGCGGCCCAACGAGGTGTGGCAAAAAGGTGCGGAACGCGGCGCCCGATCTGGACGAGGGTGGGCCTGAGGAGGGCGCTGCCCCTCATGTCGGCCTCGGTGGAGCCTCTGTGGCTCGGGGCGATGGGTGACCCCTTGGGCCAACACGGCCACGAGGAAGAAAGAGAAAGGGAGAGAAAGAGAGAAACAACTGAACATGCACGCATACATGTATGACAAATTAAACAGATTCCTATATCTTTATGACCCGGACCCCCGCCCCCCCAAGCCCACCACCTGCCTAAACCAGCCCCTCCCTCGGGGACGGCCCAGACGCCCTCTTGGACGTTTCGGCGGCCCCCTGGACGCCTTTGGAAAACGTCAGCTGGCCCTTCCGGGCTGGGCCTTGCGAGCAAGCAGACTCAAACCGATCAGAAGGGTCATCGGAGGGGCGCAAAAGAGACCCAAAACCATATAAACAGCGCTACAAGAGGAACTTCGGTGGTCTAAAGACGGCCCAAGATGCCCCCCAACAAACCCCAAGAGGC